CTTCATTTGCAGAATGTGACTTTCAGTGTACACCTTGAAGGTCACTCTGGGGTCAATTGTGTACCTGTACGAACATCTACGCTTTTGTATACCCCAATTTTCAGAATGAAATGTGATGTTGACGACTTGACGTTGAGATAGAAAAACAAGCCAGTGTGTACCTTTTACATAAACATCTATTTATAAAACATAATACAAGAGAAATTAAAAGAGACTTGCATGACCACACCCATATATATCAGTCTTGATTCCTATATATTCACAACGCAGCCAAAAATATCTTCCATATAGACATGAAAAAAACTATTAGCACTGGCTGATGAATAAATCTGATGTTGGTAAAAGGCCATGTTGTCAAATGCATAACATAATGCATTCATCATAATTACAATGAATTGTGGTTTGTTCACTTCAATGGTTAACCTCTAAATGATGGAACTCTTTATGTTTGAATGTAATATCATATGTATCTTTGAAATGTTAAAAAAAACCCATCCCTCCAACTCTTTTCTTCACTCTTTCCTTGGTCCCCTCTTTCTTTAAACCTAAAAATAACTCCACCCTTTCCCATCATAATTAACTCATGAATTCTAGCAACTACAAATAATATATTATATAAAGTGAACAAACTGTATATATTCTCCTTTATTTGAAGAGGATACCATATACCACATTATTACACACAGAAACTGACAAACCTGTCAGTAATATTACAGAGCAGTCACTGTGGTGGATCCAGAATTCTTGAAAGGGGGGGGTGCAAACTAAGGGTCTGGGGGATGTGAATTAAATAAATGCAATATTCAACAACAGAAAATTAATATCTTAATCTTAATTAGTTTGGTTTGGTTACAAAATGGGGGGGGGGGGGGAGGAGAGGGGGGTGTCCCCCTCTAAGTCCACCAATGTCATTATGAGTAGTCAAGGTATAAAGGGGCTGCAGGAGAATTCTGACCTTCAAATAACTTGAATTGATATAGCAGGAAATATAAAATCACTACACTTAAAGCTCATAAGGAAATTTTTTTTTCCTTCCCATAGTCCAAGCTCTGTTAAATATGATTGTTTAGCCTGTATGTCCAGATAAAACAGTCATGAAAAAAGTAAAGATTTCAAAAGTTCAAAAGTTCATCATTTTGAAAAGATTTGTCTTTAACTGCTAATTCAGAAAGATCCCAATAATGAAACAGTCTGAAAACTTTTTGACTAGAATTTTCCTTGTCATTGACAGTTTCAATGTTACAGTAACATAGTGTTTAAATTGTCACTTTTAACCATACTATATGGATGAGATGTGGTTAGAATTTCATTCTAGAAAGTCTAGTTGACATCATTGAGGTTTTGTGCACCAAATTTCTTACAGCTCACCCATATTTAACATCGACTGACTGCAGGAAAGTTTTTGCAACATCAAATTCAAAGTCACTCATCCTGAAAATGGGCAATCTCTTGCATGAATGCTCTCTAAAACTTTAATATCATATTTGACTTCCAAGCCAAGCAAATGACCTTAAAAAATGTATAATACATAAAAATGTCCTCAGCCAATTGACCCACATTTGATTTTTTATTGTGGGCACTCTTTCATACCATGTCCAAATTTGCCTTTCTGTATTTTAATCACAGTATGAATGAATTGTCACCCTGTCACTAAAATTGACTATTTTCAGCATGTCATTTATTCAATGTCAGGAAATATTTGGTGGTTAACTAATTTGGGTTTTTTTTGACAGCTTTACATTCAATTATACCTTAAATATATTCATTTTCTCGGGACTTTCCTCATGTTCTTAACCAACCTGAGGTATTAATAAATTATCAAATAAAGCTACTGATGTGTAAAGCTCTTACAGTGTGAACCTTTATCATTTTCCACCAGCTGACTTTGATAAATGTTGTTTACAAAATTTGAACTTTTTAAGTAAAGTCTTAAATTGAAATTTAATACACCTGTTAAGTGTACTTACAAAAGTTGAGCTTCTCTATATTAGCAGAGGCTGCAATTATAATTTCTTTTTTTTTCCAAATTATATCTGAAGTGTTACTTTGAAAATTGTACCCTAGCATAAAACACAAAGAAGGAGACATTACTTCTAACAATGAAGTGAAAAGAAATACCCCATGCTTCAGTGACTTACATTACAGGAAAAGTTATCTCCGAGTAAAATCTCCTCCTGAAATATCATACACAGGAATATTTTATGACAATAAATCATGCATGAACAGCTTGAAGTTTTAAAAAGTTTCACACTAATTGCTTCATACTGTCCTTCAATAACTTGCTTCATTGCCAAAAAAACTTGCCAGTATGGCTATAATACTTATCAGGGATTATGTTAAACTAGTCAAGAAACCCTAATTCAATTAAGTTACGTATGTCTTAAAATAAAGATTGTATAACCTCATACATTTGTAATCTGCATAATTGGATTAAAGTGTAACAAGCCATGGTTCTACAAAAACTAAAATGTGAAAAAGTCCATGTGTGACTTGCTTCAACAACAGTTTCACATGCATGCAACATGCACTTTCAGAATTATAAATAAACACATCTAGTGTAACACAGTACATTTAAAATTTCTAGGAGAATCAGGCATGATGATCATTAATTAAAACTAATTATAGAAATGAAGCACCCAATCTTCAACGTGCATAAAGACTTTAGGCTTATTTGAACATCTGCAAAAGATTGACAAGGAAGTGAATTATCAGAGATAGATAGGACCAGAACTTGTTGAGCTTATCAGACACTGTAATTAATGCCAAGAGTTATGAAATCTATATTTAGAATCTTACGTTTCAATATATATACTTATAATCTATTAAGTTCTTAACCTCTGCCAATCACAGTTATAATGAACATACTGATGTCAGAAAATTTAAATGTATTAAACATGTTTTTTTTTTTCTAATACACTTCTTACAGTTCATGTCACTATTTATCTTAATTGACACTGTTAAATATTTTATATGAGTCTGTTTTAATTTTCTTTTTAAACAATTTCTACAGGTCTATAAAAAAAATATATAATTTTTTTTCTGGAGTTCTTTTTTTTTTCTCTGGACTTTATATCTGATGTACTTTTTTTTGCTTTTATATCTAATGTACTGAAAATTATAATATTCCAAACTCATGCTGCATAAGTATCTGATATTTTCTTTCATTATTACAGAAATTTTTTTTGGATTTTTTGATTTTGTCAAAATGACAAAAGATTTGACTGCCAATTGGTAGCATCCCAATATGAGTTGATTTTGTCAAAATGACAAAAGATTTGACTGGCAATTAGTAGCATCCCAATATGAGTGAAAAATTCTCATAGGGACATAAAGCAAACAAACAAACAACCAACTGAACCTTGTGATATCAGTCTTGGACTTGAAGTAAGAAAAGAGAACTTGCAAATCAGAGGTGAAAATAGTATATAGTGAACATAATTTTTTTTGCACTTGATTGCATTAAATTTTGCATTGTCTGATATTTTACTTTAAACAACATCAAGTGCAGGGAGCTCTTACTGCAACACCTGGGCAAAGAGAAAATTCAGACATTGCACAATGATCCAATAGAATTTTTCCTGCATTTATCTCAGTATCCACCATCCTTTGCAAATAGACTGTTTCTCCATAAACAATGTACTACTCTCTTAAACTATATTCTGGTAATAATCAAACAAAAATTTACAAATAAAAAAGTTACTCACATTGCTTTAATGGATATTGCAGATGGATACTGTAGATTCCTTATTTTACCCAAGTGCTTAATATCATGAAATGACTCTTAGAAATCAAATTGTGAGAACATTAAATGGCAAGTGGGCAGTTGATCAGTAGACTGTACATGCATTTCAACATCATAAAAATGAAAGTGAGTAATTTTATTTCTGAATGGTGCTAAATTCTCGCGAAATTCCATAATTTATTCCTCATGTACATTTAGGATTCTACAGTTGTAGATAAAACTCTTTGTTAAAAATTTGCCCTATTTTAAGACTGTTAGGATTCTTAATAGGAAAATGCATCTAATATATATGATGTCATTTGATGTCAAAGACTAGACCTTCCAAATGTCTTGTATGGTTTGAAGAGGCGGATCTATAAAGTTAAAAGTGAATAGGTATCCAGTAAATAAATTATAAACAACTGCACTCACCCTGACGGTCACTTATTTCAATAAATTTTCCTTTTTGATTTAAAAGTGTCTATAAAATAATGTATACATTATGGATAATCCTGAATAAAGACCACACAGTTTTGAACTGAAAACATTTCAAAAATATAATTGATTATCATGAGTAGCTATACTACCAATAGTCGCCTTTTGTCAATGTCTGACCAAATATTTCATAACAATCATGTATACAGCATGTACAGCAAGAGACATTAGTAAAACTCTAGGGATTCTTTCCTAACTGACAACCAATTATCTCTGTAAAGTACACCACAAAATAAAAATCATAGAGGAAACCAGTTTTTCTCCAAATATGAAGTAAAAACAGCGTTAGTCCAACTAAAGAATCGAATATTAATTCAGTTTTTCGTAAAGTTTTAAAACATTGAAGGTAGACTTTGCAAAACATTAAACAGTTAGTTCTAAAAACTTTGTAAATTTGAACTCATTGCAGCTAACTGAATATGCTGGATATTATAAGAAACATACATTATTCTGAATATTATAAATCAACAACTCTTACCTGAAAGGTGCGACAGGTGAGTCAACTGCGAAATAAAGCTTCCTGTTTTGTTGCAAATATTTCCGGAATGCAGGTGTAAGTCATTTCAAACATTTATTTATTCGTACACACTACTTCTTACTAAAACAAGTTTGACTTTATCACTAATTTCTTTTATCTGATCAAGAAATAACATTATAATAGCAATATGATTTTGATAAAAAAAAATTATACAACTAGATAAATTTTTTAAAACATAATTAAGATAAAATGTTTCCGAATACGTTCAGGTTTGAGCTACCTAAGGAAAGAGGGCTAAATATTTAGCATCCAACCCATCATCATTCATGCTGTAAGTTTCAGTTTGCCTTCTTAATCATTATTATGAATTAAGATTCAGATATTGATGAACAAGATTAAATTTTTAAGGAAATGAAAATGACTGGTAAACAGGTTGAAGGACCTTTAAACATCAAAAGACACTGATCTTGGGTTCTCCCATCATCTGATGGCATTACGCAATGCGATTTGTTTGTCTTATATTGGTGATATTTAAGAGCACAATAACACTCGCTAATTAATATATGTGTTTGATAAAACATTCAAATAAATATTCTTAAGCAACAAGGAAAATGAAGAATGGATGAATCAGAAATAAGTTAATTGAATCTATCCCCCTTTTCAACTTGGACATAAACGGCTGAGGATGAATTAGACTAAATAATAAATGTTGCATACTACCCGCAGTTCATGTGGTTTTGTATATTGTATACGGTTTTTGCTCAGATTGTGCAAAATCCTGTGTTGCTGATAGCAACAACTAACTTACCAATATTCTAACTTTTGCTATTCAATGGCAAATATCACCATTATTCTAAGACTTGATTTATAATGATAATCCGGCACATCTTGAAATATTGTTTAGGAAAATCTGTCTTTTTAACTTTTTCCCCATTGATTATGCACCAGCAAAAAAGTACAAGATTACAAATGTAGATTTTGAACTGTCAAATTCCATAGTTGTTGCTAAATTAGCCAATGCTTATCATGGACAGTTATTGTTGCAAAACCTCAATCACCTGAGTGTAAAATTGAATTTTGTTTATGTAGATGTAAACATGTCCTTATATTGATAATTGTAAGCTTATTTATCAACCCAATGCTCTCTCCTAGCATTTTTTTTTTCAATTTTTTTTTATACAGATCACTTGACATCAATCATAAGGAAAAAAGATATGAGTAGTAGACTACTAAACTTATTGTCTGAGCTTTGCCAACAGCATTTATGTGCCCCTTAAGCCCCTTCTGAGCTAATTCACTATGTATGTGAAAAAAAAAACGTATAAGGGAATTTTGGGATTTTTATGGAGTCATAATTGAACATAAGTACACTGTCATATTTTTCAGTGGTATTATATCAGTAGCTTTTCTGCTGTTAATCTTTTAATGCTTGAATGTTTTATTTTATTGGAAAGTATAAAGACAATGAGAAATATGGCAAGAGCTGGATGAAAAGCTTTTAAACTGAGTTATTGACATTATGCTGAAGGGATCTAAGGCAAACTGTTTAAAATTTGATTATGCTAATAGTAGTCTATAATACATCTGTTGTTAGTGAATGAATGACTTATAATTTAAGGATATTAAAGCCAAAAGATGCACAATCTTTATTAAATTCAGCTTTGCATGCATTAAATTTGTGCAATAGAAACATATGTTTATCATGGTACATTGTTTTTTATTTGCTTTATCAAGTTGGATTATTATTTCTTAGTTACTGCAGAATGGGGCAAGGTAACAGTCTTCCTAATCCCGAGCAGACATTTGGAATTGTGCACAGTAAACTGCGATCCCATCTCATCATCCTGAAATGTCTGGCCAATCTCTCATACTCAGATTTCCTTCGTTCTGTTCAGGAGCTGAATTCATTGTAAGGTTTTAGCTTGTTTTTAAATAATGGAAGGCATTCTTATTTATAGCACATTATTACTGCTAGTGGTATTTGGAAGAAGTGAAATGTACCATTTTACTAGTTTCATATCTCAAAAAATGATTGAAAAATTATATTTTATTGATCAGTTTACTTACTGTAATGAATGTACCAATTGTTTGAAAATATTCGAAAAATATTATGATAATCAATACATTTATCCCAATATTCCAGAACATCAACTTTCTGTGACCGAAGAGGAAAACAACTACTGTTCTCAGTGGAACGTGGTACAGATGCCTCCATATTCTGGAAACCTACAGTCAAAATCATCTGCCAGAAAGTAAGATTAATTCATCACCATAATTAGTTATGTAGTAACATACAGAGAAGAGGTGTGAAACATATTAAGTATCGAATAAACTCTGCATAAAATTTCATTTTTTTCATATGTGACTTTAGGTTAAGTTCCTCTTACAAATTATGTTAGAACATTTTATATACATGTAGGAGTTATATTTATAGGAATTGTTTTTTAGACAGATATGTTTTAAAGTAATTAAAATCAATTAACATTCAAATTTGGAAGCAAAATATTAGGTCTAATCAGTGTGATATTTTTTAAGTTAAATTTACAATCAAAGAATGAAAGAATTGTCTCTGAATTTGGAACATTGGGCACAACAGATTTTTAGCTCACCTGAGCCAAAGTCTTGAGTTTTTCTGATCAAAATTTGTCATCATTTTAATCCCTGTTGATGACGTTGTCTTCATTGACATAAATATTTCACATTCTCATCTTCTTCTTTAGAACCACTGGGCCAATATCAACCAAACTTGGCGCAGAGTATCCTTGGGTGAATTGGATTCAAGTTTGTTCAAATGAACAGAGTTGTCAAAAACTGTCAGTCCTGTTGACAAGGCCCGCCAAAAATTGTCTGGACCAATAACTTACCAGAAAACATTGCTCAAATTGACTAAAAAATCAGCATGATGCAAATTTTTTATAGATCTGGATCGGGATGGGCAGGTGAAGGTCACAAAATCAAACAGACATGGCTGAGTATAAATGGTGGTCGATCAAATTTGATAAAGCAGTGACATTAAACATGTTATTTATGTCTCTGATTAGAGACTGTCCATCTGTAAGAAAAGAAAATTGTGAGATGGAATATGTTGAAAACAAGGGGCATTTTGGTGCAGTTATGTATATTCTTTTCTGTACAAGATAAGGTACATGTATCTGGTCTGACAAAACTTTTTCCAGCAGAATCTTTAACTATGTCAAATTTAAAAAATTCAACAAACTGTGATGAAGGGCCACGCCCTCCTCCTCGGGGGGATAATTAGGAAATAGTGGAAATAGTGAAAATTGGGTGGGTCATTTAAAAATCTCCTTCTCAAGAACCACAGGGCCAGAAAAGATGAAGCTTAAGTGAAAGCTTCCTGACTAAAGCATTGATTCAAATTTATTCAAATCATGACCCCTTGGGTTAGGGTGGGGCCACTATGGCCCATCAGATTTTTACATGGGTATACATAGGAAGTATCTTTAAAAGTCTTCTTCACAAGAATACTTAGTCATGATTAGTCATATTTATATGGAAGCATCCTCAGGTATTTTAGATTCAAGTTTGTTCAAATCATGACCCCCCGGGGTAGGGGGTCACAATGGGCAATCAAAGTTTTACATAAGAATATATAGGAAAACGAAGAACAGCAAAGCCACGATTAGTCATTTTTATATGGAAGCATCCTCATTTAGTCCTCAAATCATGACCCAAGGGGGTTGGTGTAGGATGTGGCAACAATGTGTGATCTTAATTTTACATAGGAATATATAGGGAAAAAATCTGCTGATAAAGAACAGAAGGGCCATAGTGACTCGGGTGATCATGGTGGCCCATGGGCCTCTTGTCATAAAATGTAAGAATCAATTCTAATGTAAAGAAATTCATTTGTTTTAATAAAAAAAACATGTCAAAATTGATCAAAATTATATTTGCAGCTGTCAATTGCTTATTTGCAAAACAGCCAATTTCATCTTATCCTTGCAATTGATTAAAAAAAATGTTACAACAGTTGTTAGTACAGTACAGTTTTTTAAGTTATAAAATTTTGTGTGAATCTTCAAAGGATTTCATCAGTGACCCAAAAAGTATTAAAAATCAATAAATTTTCTAAAAATTTACAAGTTTGTTTACAAACTTTCTGGATAATCCAAGTGTTTTGCATTTTTCACATCATATCTGTTCATAGAATTATTTTTTTATTCAGGTTAATACTCATCTAAACAGAGTGGAGTCTCAGAGAAGACTAAATCTCAAGCAGTATGTAGTTCTGTATCGTGAGATCTCGGACCAGGTGGCCAATCTGAATGCCAGGGAGCAGGAGAAGGGTCGACTCAGCAGTTTGCCCAATGACATTTGTGCTAGTGTCATATTTGAGGGGTAGGAACTTTATATAGATATTTTCACCATTTGGAAACAAATATATATTAGGGAAATTCAAAGTAAAAATGATTAGTACACAATATATTTTGCCCTGATTAAAAAAGCAAGGGAAAAATGAAGTTTCATGTACATCGATAAGATTTATGAAAAATTTTTCTCAAAATTTTAAAGTGCATGATTTGAACATAACAAAAAAATCAAGAAGTAGACTGTGGTACTGACATGCATGTCTTGTTGGAAGAAATACTGAATCAGTAGAGGTCAAAGATATGTCAATCTGCCCATATTCTTGTATAGGTATGTTATCTCAAACTCGAAGTGGCCAAGAAAAAACTTCGAGATATCAGAGTATTTAACCTTAAGATACTGAGGTTAAAAACAAGAGAAAGTAGTTGGGACTTCCAAATGACTTCGATATATCCATGGTATTCGAGATATCAGTGTTCAAGGTAACCAAGTTCAACTGTATTTGGAATACGTGTTCTGTGTTTCAGTGTTGGACAGGAGGAGGATGATAATGAATGCTGTATATGTATGGAGAACAGGTCCGAGATCATACTGCCATGTGCTCACCAGTTCTGTGAGGGGTGTATAGACACATGGTAAGTACTGAAAACTTGCATAAAATTACAATGATTTTGTATTACTGTTATAATGTGCAAAATAAAGATATATAAAAAAAATCATGTATTTGATGATGTATTATCAAGGTAGTTTTCATTTGAGAAATTAAACTTGATGATAAACTTTTTATTTTATGAAGAATTTTGATTTACAGGTACATGTTATCTATTTCTTAATGTGTTAATTACATGTACATGTGTAATTAGAACTGTGAATTCCAGTGGTACGTTTTCTGAGATTGAAAACAAATAAACAGGTCTCTTAGAAATATGCAAAAAAAAGATTTATTTTGTTTACAATAACATATTTAATGTAAGAGTTATCTGAGCTTGATAAATAAATACTTAAACCAAGCAAAAACAAAACATGATTTTTTCAATTTTTGTAGGAATGTGACAAGCAAAACATGCCCCATTTGCCGTGAACGAGTGGAAAGCATTGATGAGACCTGGGTCTTAACAGAGAAGCCAGATGACCTTGAGTATGAGACAGAGGTCAGAGGTTACCTAGTGAGCTTAGCGGACAAACCGGGACACAAAACATGATGACTTAGTACTTTTTGTTGAGAAAGTTTGGTATACTAGTTATAAGTTGCTAAATTAGTAATTAGTGAATTTATTTGTTGATATGATTAACAGATAAGTGTTAACGATTTAAGGATATTGTTTATTCTAAATGTGGAAATTTTTGTGAGGGAGCACTGTATACCAACTTTTTATTTGTGTGCCAGATTTATCAGTGAGTCTGGTCATGTATTTAGTTGTGTATTTCCTCAGTTATGAAAATTAATTGTTGTGAATTAATGTCAGACTGTTTAATTGTGAATCATAGTTGGCTTACAGTAACAAGAGAAACTTCGCTAAATTAAACACCCACATGAAATGTTCTTTTCATGATGAAATATACTATTTAAATGACAGAGCTCTCGGACCACTTTTTGGGACTGGGGCCGGGACCTTAAAATTTGGGAAAAATTGCAACCTTTCAGGGAATTTTTGGATAACCATTATACTTTAAAATCATGATGTATTGGGTTTCTGGTGTTTGTTATCAACTAAATTTCTATTTTGCAATACAGATCAAAATATGTTTTCTTTAATTGGGGGGATTTGACTATTGAGAAAATCAACATATTCAGTTGGAAAAAAGGTACCTTTTTAGATTGGGAAGGGGCCTTTGAACTGCCCCAATAAAAGACGATTGAAAGCCCTGAATGATCAATCCATTTTCCTTATTTTTCAAAACTACATGCATTCCCTTATCAGAAACTTTGAAAACAAAATCCCAAATTAACCCCCAAAAATGTCCAGGTTTACAATATCACAAAAAAATCAAGGTTATGACACTAGGTTGTTAATGAAGAGTCAAATAATTGTGCTGAAAATGGAATGAGTTTAATATGTCAGTTGTGTTTATATTTATTCCTATTTGTTGACACATTCCCGACAATTCATCTTTATATATTGTCACAATTATGAAAGAAATTGTTGTTAACTATCATGATTTTGATATAATATACCTAGCAGTTAGATGTAATTTTTTGTTGTTGTATTTAAATGGATACACATATCTTATGTACATAAGATAATTTAAGGAAAGTGTACCAAGTTTATCCACTAGATTGACTGATGTTTGCAAACATTAAGTATATACATATATTCTGTGATAATACTTTTGCTGTCTTACTTCAGATTGCTTTCTTTTCTAAAAGTTATGTTATAGATCTTACTATTAGTGCCATATCATAAATTCTCTATTTTGTCATGATTGAACAAAGTGTGATTGTAATACATTGTCCCAGTGATCCTGTTTGACCTTGACCTCTGGCAATCCCTATCCAGCTTTGACCATGACCCTCGTTGTAAATGTAGCCGGTAAATTATTCCCAAGGTAAAAGTTATGTACTAAAGAAAAAGAGAACTGAAATTGCTACTGAGACTTTTTATTGTGAGCCTTTTGGTAAATCAGCCTCTTTTTAATTTTGCTGCATGAAAATGAAAGTTTAAAGTGCAAGCATCTGGTTGGGGGGAGGGGATGGGGTGTTCAATTATTCGTTAATTAGTATCACTAGTTGCAGGAGATAGAATTAGACAATATTAGGTCGAGACACACACTTGGAGATATCTATTTTTTCAAATATTAAAGCATAATATGTACATCTGTTCATTCAAGAGTTTACTCATGATGTTCTAGGGGATGATGTAAAAATGTTATCAAACAGAGGAATTGGTTATATACAGGTATCATTTCTCTTCCAGTGACTTTTTTTTTTTTTGTCAGCTTGACATTTCATATGACCAAATATTATTTGTTAAGTAATTTGTAAGAATAAGATTGTATACTGAAACTTGCAAAAGTTATTACCTTTAGTATGCAAATAAATTACTAAAAAAAATATGCAATAATCTACAAATAGAAACTTTTCTTATTGATTTTTTTAGTACCGGTAGAAGCATTTTGTTGTTCATTTGTTTTATGTCTGGACATGATTTTTAGGTGCTTGTATTTAATTTTTTTTTTTTTTTTTTGCTCTAATTGTGATGTAGGTAAAATTTTTAACATTGTGAAAAAAAATACAGGAATGCCAGTATTTACATGTATATTGCTGTACCTCATTTTTTTGGCTAGTACCAGTAATTATGTAGCTACATATGTCTCAGTATCCTATAAATATCCTCTCGTTGGATCCTCTGAAATTCCCAGGGATCTTTGCTTTATGCCCTTTTCACAGATTAGTACATTTTCTAGTTTTTTATTTTGAGATTGATCACTGTTCGTTATCTTCATTTATTTCATTGATGAAATAAAGCAAAGAAGATATTGCAATAAATTATTACAGCAAGTACTGCAAAGTGTGATTGTGGTTAACTTTAATTAATTCATTAGAGCTGTCAAGAATGAGAGTTTAACTCCTAAAAAGTTTAACTCCTAAAAATAGTGAGAAGGTTTTTGTTTTGTTTAATATTTTTTTAAATATGTTGTCAAATGTGAAAATATATTTTAAATGTTCAGTCATTCTTACCTCAAGTAATTGTTATGTGTACATGTATATGATTGTATAGGCAAAAGAACATAGTGAAATCTGCAGTCATGTGTCGTGTCAATCATGTACATGTATCCCAGCTAAAGAATGTCTCCTGGAAAAAAAGAACAGTCCCTATGTACCTAAGATAAAAATATGAATGTTACTGATTATTTTTTTGTCATTAATTATGTATTGTTTTGATATTTTTTTGTGCTAGTGAGATGAGATTTAAATTTTCAAAGGGATATAACTGTTGATTGAACTTGTTGGAACAAAGTATTTATTGTTGTGCTATCAGATACAGTTCTGAATAAATTATTGTAAAACAGAACATTTGTTGTGATGATCTTACATTTATTGTGATGATCTTTGAAGGAATTATTACCATTTTAATTTATGCAATGCTCTATCTCAAAAACTGATCACTGATTACAAAAGGCACAGTGTATTCTTTTCTGGTGATCAATCTCTGTCGATCAACTATGAGTTTCCAACAGTGACCTAAAAGTAAGAGATATGATTGACTTGTGATGTCATGTGTTTTGTGTACACTTGCCATATTGATGATGGGTTCACATATCCTTGCTTTCTTAGATCATTGAAGTGTTGTCCATGTAACTGAACAAATGATTTATTTTCCACCTTTGGATATATTTTCCATCATCTTATCACTTATTAATGCTTTTCTGACTACCTTGAACCTTGGCGAAAATTCATTCATGTGGAAAATCTAGGTCGAATCCAGCATCCGAAGCACATCCAAAGATGCATCATCCATGCAAGTTTGGTCCAGGTAGGGCTTATAGTTACTTGGGAATGAATCTGCTCCAAAAACTTTAACCTGGTCACTCATCTGGAAAATCTAGGTTAGATCCAGCATCCAAAGCAAGTGTGGTAGTGTCCATCCCTAGATGCATCATCCATGCAAGTTTGGTCCAGGTAGGGCTAATAGTTACTTGGGTATGAACCTGCTCCAAAAACTTTAACCTGGTCACTTATCTGGAAAATCTAGGTCAGAACCAGCATCCAAAGCAACTGTGGTAGTGTCCATCCTTAGATGCATCATCCATGCAAGTTTGGTCAAGGTAGGGCTAATATTTACTTCGTCGAGGTGAGCTAAAAATCATTTCAATTTAGTACATGTATTTAGAGTAAAGTTTTCAATATTGAAATTTATGAAATTATAATAAACAAAACTTTTCTGAGGAACATTTTCTTGGCAAAATTTATTCTTTTATTAAAAAAAATAATGTGGTATTTGAACTCTAGCAATAAAAATCCTGAGTATCATTTTCTTTCGAGACTAGCACGCTAACCACTAGACTACACAAGTCCTGATGAATAGTGGCATTTAAATAATGTTTGTGATATGACCCTCGACTTTATGGACTTCAAGTATTTCTAGAACAGATGCGAATGCTTTGTCATAAAAGTATATTTTTAAGGTATAGTGGGTCTTTGCGCCATGTTTTTGGAAACCAAAAATTTTATATATTTTTATACAAACTTTGAGGATTAACTTTCAAAAAAAATGGAGCGAAGACCCACTCATAACAAACAACAGTGTTATAGTGGGAGAAAATGACTCTTTTTGCCCTCTTTAGTGTGTGTATAATATTTCATAAGCAAATAATTTCAATCTTTGTGAGATTTTTGAAAATTGTAGAGATTTTACATAAAGTATATTTTAATGTTAGATGAAATATCAAGGAAATTTTTGATATAATTACAATTTAATTTTTAACCTTCATGTTTGCCACACTATAGGCTTTTCACTTGTCAAGTTCACCCATCTTCTTACCAACACATCCATTTTCCTATTAATAACATGTAACCAATTAGTTTGTTGAATTGCTCTATAAAGTATGAATACTCTTTCAGCCATGTAGGAATGCCGATGCACTGCACCTCTCAGAATAGAGTGATCCTTTTAAATACTTCCTTCTAGAACTCTAGTTATTGAATTAACAATCATAAAACAGAGAAAAAACATTCAGTTTCCTGTAATTTAATGAGACTTTTAATATAAACTTTTGATACAAATTCTTTAACAGGTCTATCTGTAACTATGATAATACACTTCTGCATCTAAGGAAAGAAAATTTGAACACAGTGTTTTCTCTTTAGTTAAGATTATACTCATTTTACTTATATTGTAGTTTTAATTTTATTCCAATCATTTTACATCTTGAATTCTTTCAAACAATGAAAAAAAACATGATACCCATGAACCACAACACTCACCTGAGTCTCACTGTTCATCAGAAGAAAACTTTTAAAATATTTTTTTTACCTCTTTGTTTATGAAGAATTTAAACACCATATGGTGACCCATCCTAGCCTAAAATGGTTCTGATTAAGCAGAACTTGATCCCACTCAACATGGGAATTTTTCAATAGGACTAACATGGACTTGGAGATTTTTCTGATATACATTTAATATGTGAAATTTGAATTTGATTCCCAATTTTAGCTTAAGATCCAGAATTTGAAAAAAATCCTTGAATCTGCACAACTTAGAAATATTTGCATATTAATTATTAAATGTGACCCTGCTAATTTAAAAAAAAAAAATCCTATAATTTATGAAGTAAAACTCTATTTTCCTACACCTAGGGACTATGAATTGAACAAACTTGAATCTACACTACCTGAGGATTCTTGCATATTAATATGACTAAACATGGTCCTTTTGTTCTTATGAACAGGATTTTTGAAGATTTTTTTTTTTCAATTCATGCCTTTGTTCACTTTGAGCCCCCACTGTGGCCCCACTCTACCCCTGGGGTCATCCATGATTTCAACAAAATTGAATTTAAACTAGGTCAAGAAGATTTCACATAAATTTCACATTTTCTGGCCTAGTGGTTCTTGAAAACAAGATTTATTAAAGAAACCACCAAATTCTCACCATTTCTTTATTATCTCCCCTTGAATGAGGGGTGACCCTTCAATAGAACGAACTTGAATCCCATTCACCCTAAGATGCTTTGTGGCAAGTTTGGTAGAAATTGGCCCAATGGTTCTGGAGAAGAATATGAAAATGTGAAAGTTTACATCCGACGCATGGACAACAGAAAAGATGAACATCTTTTGATCAGACCTTGGACTCAGGTGAGTTGAAAAAGAAGAGATTTTCAAGGTCATAATTGCTATAATTAATTCTTATTGTACATTTCTCACAACATCAAACCCAAAGAAAAGATGCTTTTCTTTTCAGGCACAAAACTACAAAACTTGATAAACTCTGGACTAGAACCTTTCATAATAAGCAGCATGTAATATACATGCACTAGAAAACAAAATATACAAGTGAAAAACACTACAGTACTGTATGGGAAATTTGTTCCAAAATGGATTAAAAACAAAAAAAAAAATCTACAAAGTACAATGTACTTTCTTGAGGCAACAGATACATTAAGAAACAAATGTTTACAAATTAGAGAATTACTAATAATTATCTATCATTGCTTACAATACTTTCTTTAGTTTACAGTTTTATGGTAAGAACAGCTTTGTCAATACTAAAAAAAGTTGTGAACACAATAAATCCACATTTGTGAGACTTCAACCACAGAACCACCTCTTTAAACTTTTGCTTTTTTTCAGAAAAGCTTCTCACCGAGTGCAACATTTTACCCTGAATCTTACTGATAACATGGTAATTTTTTTTATCATGGTGAAGTTTCAAATCTCCACTACAACAAGTAACTAATCAAAATTTGTCTCTGTCAAACGCAAATACCACTAGCATCCATTAAAAAGATACTTCGCACTTTTTTCTTTCATAAGACATAAACATTAAATACATGTAGATATAAATTTAATTAATTCAGTTGTTGTAGTTTGCCCCACTTCCTTCTTTGAGGAGAGTAGAGCACTCAACAATTAACAGCTGATTTAAAGGTGCACGCATATTGCATATCATTTGAATAAAAATAATGCTCATTTATTTTTTTTGTTAACTTTCCTAAAGTATCAATAAATGTTATAAGCCTTCATGCATGCATGCAAAAAAAAAAAAGTTTTTAGGAAACAAAAGCTTTATGATACATCCCAAAGAGAAAAAAATCCAGAAGTTATCATATGACGGCAAGTTTTATCAACCCAAAGATAATAACCACTTTTATTTTTAATGATTTTAAGTCAATATAATTTGTCATTATTTTGCTTTATGACCTCCAATAAATGAAAGACAGATTAACACAACATCCCTAGAAAGTGTATAATGCCCACAAGGATATCATGCATTTACAGGTACAAGAATAAAGTGAATTCCAATCTTCAAGGATATACATGTAATATATTTACATCTGCATAACATTTACCATAAATGATGCGCTATAAACACAAAACAAATATGGAATAAATGTTAACATCCCTAGTAAAGCATGGCAACACAAATTTAAAGTATTAAGGACATTAACATCGGGGCAACAGCTGAGGTATAAGGACACATGGACACATGTAATCTATATTTTTATGCATATCATCATGTGATTTATTTATGCATATCATGTGATCTTTTTATGCAAATCATGTGATGTCTTCATACTTTGACTTCCACTCTACATATGGGACAGGTGGCATTGGTCTGAAAAAAAAAATTATATCATCTCAATACAATTCATAGGAGAATCACCTTTAAATTTTAATGAAAAAGGCAATGATTTGGTCTATACTCAAATTAAAAAATTCTCAACCAGACACCTTCCTTTTTCTTTCTGATTTGTGATTTTGTTATTTTTTTTAACCACATTTATGAACAATCAAACAGATTTAAAATATATTAGATGCTTATGCTTCACAAATTTATAACTGTTTTTTTTTTAAAATAACTTCTTCCCCTGAGAAGGTCTACTGTATAGTAGTGCTATTGCAACTCTAGGATAAAATCAATTTGTAATTTTAATTACTTGGAAGGAGAAGCCTATAATATAATTTCTTATTTAATATCAGCACTCACAACAATCCATTTTTCTATGCACTCTCCGTGAAATTCGTGGAAGCATGGAAGAATTTTCAGCCTCTCATTCAGAATGTAGTCACACATGCAGATGGAACAGGAAGTCATTTTGTTGTTGGCATGGAATTTTTTCTCTGGGAGGAGTGTTGCCTCCTCGCTGGAGATACCTTTGGGTTTCACATCCCCCAGTAATTCTGCTATGCTCAAAAGATCCTGTCAATTACAAGAGTGACAAGATATCATTGAGAAGATGACCATCTCCAAAAGTCCCACTTTTAGGAAAGGACACTAAGCTAAAAGGGACTTGTAAATGACTGTATTTGGAGTTTGACCTTGACCTTTGACTTACACCTTTACTTAAGCCTTAGGTAAAGGTGTAAGTCAAAGGTCAAGGTCCTGAGGGCACTCATTTGGCGAGGTATGAGCAACACGGGGGCCAAGGGGAGATAAAATATACTGTAAACAAGTATTTTACACAAAGATCTACAAGACCTTAACCTCTGACCTAGAAGCCTTGTTCAAGGTTGCTCCACACCCTTAACCCACGGGTATGGGTGAAGTACGAGCCAGATAGAGCCAAAAGGGAGAGAAAATATCCCCAGACAAGAATTCCACACAGAATTATTTTTTTAACCTGATCTTTAAATTGGTTCAATGTTATTGCATTCCCTCTAAGTTTAAGCCCGATTGGGTCGAGGGGAGAGAAAATGTGCTCATAGCAAGGACTTTACTCAAATATCTGTTTTAGCCTTGACCTCTGACCTAGTATTTGTTTCAAGGTCTCTGCATACCATGTACTAGTGAAATTTGAACTAAACTGGTCAATGAGGATTTTAAACTAAACTGGTCAAGTGGGAAAGAAAATATGCTCTGGACAAGGACTTTACACAGAGAAGTTTTTCATATATGATCTTTGATCTAGATAACTGATTCCTGATTATTGCATACCCTCTACCCATGGCATTCTACAGTAAAGTTTGAGCTAGACAGGACCAGGTGGAAAGAAAATACTTGTAAGCCATACAAGTGATTTTGGATGGAGACTGGACAGACTGATCACTGTAGAGCACCCGCAGAGTAGTGCCCTAATTAAAGAATGTCACAGAGGTATAAGATGTCTATGTTATGTGAAACATTGGAAATATGATTTCTAATCATTACTACTCCACAAATCCAATGGATCCATCACATTAAATTTTGAATTTTACATTAAATACATGTATTTAACATATATTATTAACAAATAAATTTGTAGTTCTAGTTTTTTTTTTTTTGGTGACACAGATATGCTGATAAAAATTTTTATCTCTCCTTTTCTTTACCTTTTTAACAATGTATCTTCACTTGAGAACATTTCACTTAGCACAACATCAAAAGAATGAAATAATAAAAAAAAATAAATTAATATATCCTCCAAAACCCCAAGAAATGTAAATACAAAAACTTTCTCTAAAACACATGAATTTATTTCATCTAATTCTTATGAATCTGTTCTTGAAATCTTAATTACCTCAAAGTCATTGGATGAGAATGTTCTGTTGTGAGTAAGCAATCTTCTCTGAAAATAAATAAAACAAGAAGTGAAAATATATACCTTTATAAATGTGTACATTTCTCTTCACAAAACATTTCATTTGTACACAAGAAAAAGTGAAGTAATTATAAAAATATAAATCATATGAAAGAGTTTAAAACATAGGTTAAACTCTTAACAACATTGCTTAAGGAAAACATTCTAAATTAGGTAACCCATTTACAAGATAAATATACAGTCACATGTTTAAAAAGTAATCAATTACTGGTATGTTATTTCTTCCTTGATGTAAATCATCCTGCAAAAGCCTCTCTGTCCAATCTAAAACTAAAAGTATTTCAAATAAGTTGCAATATTATCTAAGTCTCAAATAAAATTATAGAATAGTTGCATTTATACTGACTTTCAAAAAATTTCATTTCTCTAAGTTTTTCAAAAATGATTTTAATTACTGTTTCATTTATCTGGGTCATCCAAAAATTGTTCCAATTACTAACAATCTTAAATATCATGATCTCTCTTTTAACAAAAGAAATAAACTAGATGTTGTTTCTCACCATGACGACGACCTCTATTTCTGTTTCCACGTCGATTAACGCCATGTGATACCAGCATGTGTGAACCAAATGGAAAATCCATCACTGAATTCTGTCAAGATTTAATTTATCAATATTAGAAACTAAATCGTAAATATCACAAGCATTAGATTTAATCAATTTTCAATTAAAGGTGCTAGAGACACATGTACATTTACATCTTTTAAGCCCATAAATAATGGTAAGATTCTGAGCTGTTTATGTTTTAATTTTCAATATGTCAAGAATATAACACATAAATTTACACATATAAATTTGACATTTGACACATAAAAAATTTCATTTTATTTAGGAAACTAACATGGAAAAATAAGTTTAGCATGACATTTAAAAATGAAAAAAATTCTGACATCTTAATTTATCCTGCTTAATATGGAATTCTAGAGCATTTAGATCCAAACTCACATGTACTGACAACTGAAGCTCAAGCATTTTTTCCCTATCAAGCCTGTTCCTTCTTTCGGCAGAAAATTTGAAATTTCTTGTATAAAAGTTAAAGTTACAGTAATTCAACTCTTTTTGCAAATATTCAAAATTTAGGCAATGAAAAATATTTTTTCTCTCGTTACTGTTGTGTTTTTCATAAGTCTCACACAATGACATTTTTCTTACTCCTCTATCATGTTAAAGAAAACTCTAAAGATTACTTGACTGGTTACCTAGCTTTGACCATTCATATGAATGTTTACTGAATGCAACAGAATACTGGAATGTAATTGAAAAGTATACATTTCAGGGTTGAAAGCTGAAGACAGCAATGTAAAATTTTGTTCTTTCCATCCTAATTTGACTTTGCAACACAGTAACAATAATTATGAAATTAATGTGTTATTGACAAACATTCAACTGACCTCCATAGAGCTATCTTCTGACTCTTCATGGAACAAGGACTCAAGAACAATATCCATGTCTGTAAACACAAACAAAAACATCTCTCATTTCCAGGCATATTATAGAACATTTACAGGGAAGCATGCCTACAGGGAACCACTAAAAGACACTAAATTGATGTTACACGCTTGTTAGCTAAAGCTTTATTGCAAAAAGCTAAAGTGAAGCAGAATTATCATACATGTACAGTGAAATACACTTATAGCATAGAACCATGGATGTTAATTCATTATATCTGATAAGTTCATAAGTTGTCTAAGGACACACCACAAAACATAAAATTTGACATTACGGTTACTGACCAAAAATCTATGACCATTGAGCCATAAGTTCCACAAAAGTTATCATAATACCCCCCCCCCCCCCAATGGCATACTTAGCATGCAATATAGTCTGTTGACTTAATCATGTTAATAGAATGATTAAAAGGTGTCTTCAGGGCAAGGCCTCATCACAATTAACATGACAAAACTATGTCCCATATGGCTGAATGAAGCAGAATAGAATGGATCTGCTCCAGATCTAGTTTGAAAGACTTACATTACATAACATTTTTAAAATTCCATGCTAATTATAGGAAACTTTTCTGGGCATTCTTGTGCCTCATAAAACAGAAAAATGAATCTAAATAAAAATTACAAACTTTCTCAATGTTTTTCCCCCTCACTTTAAACTTTTCTAATTGAGAACTCCCTTCAGTGTTCATAGTTCCTGTTTAGAATGGGTTACTTGCCCTTGTTACTTTGCTACAAACATATATAGGATGAATTCTGTCTTTAAATTAATACTAATTATGGCTCTGTTCTCTAGTTCGTATTTACTGCAGTTAACACTTATCTGTCACACTCACCCCTAGTGGACTGTCTCATCCCCCTGGTGAGCATTGTTGTAGGGGAGTCACTATCATGGGTGTGGTAATCCGACAGCCTGGGACAAGGTGGGGTTTGGGCCTGGCTCTCAGCATTGAACAGTGTCATGGCATACTCAAAGTCCATTTCCTCCTTAAAAAACAATGTCAGACATTGCATTTTTCCAAAATAAAGGGTGAATAAACATAAATTTGTTCATGTACGTTCAAACATGTATGCCATAATATTGTTAATTTGTATGTAAAATTACGTGTTTATACAATAAAATGAATAAAAAAATGTATTTGTAATAAAAAAAATATTGTTGAATAAGATAAATCAATAATTATTCATTAATTACTGCCATAGAGTCGGATAAACTAAAGAAACCAAAGAATAAAGTTCTTGATGAAACCACAATACAGTAAAACACGGTTACAACAAACACATTTATAATGACTAGAGATGTCAATTTTATTCAGACAGCTTAGTCGATTAGTTGGAGGCTTTAGTCGAACGATAGTTGAGTACTCATTGAAATTTAAATTAATTTTTCATGTCATTTTTCTGTTTGTCTTTAACAGACTGCTAGTCTGTACAATATTTAATCTATGCTATCACCATTATACAACAAATTATTGAATTGTTAACATTTACGAAGAAATAAATATATGTATCCAATGTATTTGATTTCAAATACAATAGTTACTGCACATTTTATTAATATGTACAGAATATCAAACGCTCCCATTCATCCTTTCTTTTCATTCAGCTAGTACATGTACCCGTTATTGATTTCTTACCTGAAGCCATTTGAATGTGTCTTGTCAATGACCCGTGATTGTTAAACAATTAAAGCATACCTCTTTTGAAAACAAAGACAGCTTGCAAAAAATTTTAATTATGAGATTTTTTGCAAACAATCAATACAATTTTAAAATGATTGATATTAATATAAGAAAGAAACACCTTTAAATTACGCTCATAACTATCCCCCAATTTACATGTATTAACAAATATGTAACAGCTGTTTAATTATTCTTCATTAATTGATATTTCCATTATATGAGATCTTACGGAATTGCAGGTTGAAACCTTACAATTTGGGTCTGACATCTTTCAAAGTATGCCAATGCATGCTTGCCAAACCAAAAAATTCCTTTGTCATGAACAATTAACGAAGACCAGTTAAGTCTTTCTCGGAGTTCTATTCACGAGAACACTGAACACTGATACGTTAATAAATGAACTGAGCAGATCCAATTTTTTACCTTGAATTTAAGATTATTATTATTATTAAGTAGCTAATCTTTAACGAATAACCAACTAAAAAAAAATTTTGTCGATAGTCGGTATGATCGAACGATAGTCGAGTACTTGAATATTCCTTGACATCCCTAATAATGACATGACACTTAACATGCTTAAAGCAAAGTGATATTCATTCCCCATAGTTTTAAAACCTGTTGTGAACTAAACAGATATAACAAATTACGTTTATAACGAACTAAAACTGTTGGTCCCTGGCACTTTGCTATAAGCGTGTTTTACTGTATGTTCTATTACAGTTTTTCATTCTAAAGTTCTCTAACCTGTAGTCGCCTTGCCATTTCCTCGTCCATCTCCATCTCACTGACTGCCTGGAAAACACTCTGTGATCTCGGGGAAGCTAATATCTCACTGCGCTGACGACAATTCCTGTTTGGTCTCAGTGGTCTCCCTTGATAAATAGTCAATAATTTCTTCATATATATATAGTTATGTACACAAAAAAACTTCTTTAATATATCAACTTCCTACTTAATTTGATTGCAAGTTCAAGTTTTAACTGTGTCAAGTTCGCTCTGAAAGAATTTCACATATATATTTATTTTTGGTGACCAACAACACTGTTCACCAAAACTGTAGGAGAAGTAGCATTTTACAGACAAAAACATGGATCACAAACACCTTTACTACCTCATAAGTATGGGCTTCAAATGTTAAAATAAATGTATAAATTTACTACCTTTTACACTACTTCTAGATGGTGTTCTTTGGCTTGTGCTATCTGCAGCAGTTAGGCGTGCAGCCAACCCCGAATTTCTATAAGGGTGCATAAACGTTGGGGAGGGGACAAGGGGATTTTCAGCTTCTCCCCTCTCCAAGCTCGATTGTCTGGTTTTTCTTGCAAATCGTTGACTCCTTCGTGTAGGTAATGCATTCCCTTCCAAAACCTCTCCTTCATGTCTGTCTGAGAATGACTCTCCTGATATCGACTCATCATCTGATATAGATATCACAGTCGGAAACCTTTTGGCAGCTTTATTTTGTGGATCTGAGCCATGCTCATGTTGAGGCATGTGGTATTTCTCTGTACAATTTAAACCTGTTGGTGGTTGTTTTTTATCCCCTGGGTGAACATGCTTATTGATGCTGATAATCTTCACTGGGCTGGAATGCATAGCAGTGGCTCCTTCGGACAAGTCTGTATTGTTATACAACCATGTCTGCTCGTTGTAAAGATCCCTCACATTATCCCTGACTCCTTTTGAAACACCTGCATTATGGCTTTGTATATCCAAATTTCTTCTACATTTAGGAGAAGAACTATTGCTTGTCACATTCCTTCTTCTATTAGACTGCATATCTTTCTCCAAATGACTGTGACCTGGAGAGTATCTGGAGGGTTTATGGTGGCCTTTCTGAGAACAACTGATACTCAAATCCAAATCATCTTCTTCACTTTCTGACTCTGACGAAGATGGCCATTGCAATTCCTTAGGAATATTTGAGTACAGATTTTGTCTACATCTCCTCTGAGGTTTTTCATGTCTTTGTGCCATACTATCCATGGACAGCATATCTCTGAGAATTTTATCTCCATCCAAGATCTCTCTCCCAGCACCACAACTGCTATCAGCTTGCATATCAGAAATTTTAGTCACACTGCTCACAGTACTGGACTGGTCTTTCTTTCGTCCTTGTACTTTCTTCAAGGCCTCTTCCCCATCCAAACGAGACTTTTGAGCAACTATTGACGTCTTCTTGTGTCGTTTCTCTGCCTGGCTGAGATATTCTTGTTCCTCATGTTTACTAGATGAAATGTCACCAACCACTTCTGCTTTCCTCTTTTTCTTTTTCCTGTGAACTTTCCTACTGCCTGGATCCTTGTCTTCCTCATCTCCTTCTATTTCCTCATCACAAGAATGTAACAATTCATGAAAATATTGTTTTGCAATTGCCTTCTTTTCGGCTCTCATTTTGCTTCCAATTTTCTGAGAGTATTTTCGAGCCTTCTCCATGATATTAGAATCAGGTTGGTTATCATTGCTGCACAAAGCTTCGGGGGATTGGATTATGCCCTTCTTTTTATGGACTTTAGTTGCACCCAATTCAAAATTCTGATTTGATTTTGGCAAAGCATAGGAATTAAATTCTTCAGGAAATGTCTCATCAATGAAGGACCTAGACTTAAATATTGGGGAGAATTTCATCTCCTCAGGAAATGACTCATCCATGAGTGAGGAGAATTTGAGGACATTTTTCACTCGACTTGATTGAGAGGCCTGTTTAGAAGAAGCTTCATTGGAAGAGTTGTTTTTGTCCTTAGTATTTGTGTTGTTTCCACTCCCATGAGAATAATGAGGTTTCTTTCTGGGTCTGGAGAACTTCAGAAATACTGGACTGGAAAAGAAAAATAACAGAAATTGTAACAAAACATACTGGTGGGTAAATGTAAGCTCACTTGAACAAATCTTATCTATTAGTAAGGAAAAGTCAAGTCTCACATCTAATTATTATTTTGGGTAATGTGCATCCCTACATGCAAAATTCATGCAAGTTTGGTCTGGGTAGGACTTAAAGTTACTTGAGAATAGACTTGTTCAAAAAACTTCAACTGCTCAATCATAGAGAAAATGTAAGTCAGACAACGCATCCCAAGTACATCTGGTAGTATACATTCCAAAATGCATCATTCATGCAAGATTAGTACAGAATTGACCTGCTTCGAAAACTTCACTCTGATCATCTAGAAAAAAAAAGATCCAAAATGCAAATGGAAGTGTACACTCCTAGATGCATCATCCATGCAAGTTTGGTCAGAGTAAGGCTTATAACTACTTGGGAAAGGACCTGCTCCAAAAACTTTAACCTGGTTAATCATCTAGAGAATATAGGTCAGATGTAGCATTCAAAGAAACTCTGTAATGTGCATCCTTATATGCATCACCCCTGCATGTTGGACCTTCTCCTAAAATTTGATCCAAAATGCCCATGACTTAAGTACTGCTACTTTAACAAATTTTTGGTGTTTATATCTTTTAAGATATTTTTAAAACAGTTTAGAAATCACAAGATAATGAAAAACATAGATAATCAGAGATTACAGATCTCACTTCAAGGAATGTTGTCTTTAAGTAAGGCAAAGTCCCACACTAAACTAATAACCTAGTAGTGTGCATCCCTAGATGCAACATTTATGCAGTTTTGGATTGACACCCCCCTAACTTTGTTGGTAAGCTAATTATAAAATTTTTGCAAGATATACAAACATTCAATAACATGATTACTTAATTAAGTGTCTTAGGTGACCACAAAGTTGGTCAAGGAATATAAATTTATCTTTTTCTTACCTGGGAGCAATATAAGCAACTTCATCACCTTCATCCTCTGAGGAAAAGTTTGGAATTGTTTTTGAAACTGAGAATAATCTTGAGCTTTCATCACTGACATTTGAGTTAGCCTGTTCCTGGGGACTGTCTGATTCTTTCTTTGTTGCCATCATATCATTTTCTTTTCAAGTCTTTCAGACCTGAAAGTATTCATAGTTTTACTTTGTGTTCAGGAATGTTTTTATCCTTAGTGTCACAATCATACATTATTGGTATAACTACATGTGGCTGCAATGATGTGCAAGCAGGGTACCTGTGAAACAAGAGGCCCATGGGCCACATCGCTCACCTGAGCAAGGCATTGAGCTGAGGCATTGGCAAGGCAGAAGCACAAATCAGTTCTGTATTGAAAAGATTACGGTGGGGGGGGGGGGGGGGGGGGGAGGGCTTGAATTTTAAAAAAATTTTCCCATATATTCCTTTGTAAAAATTTGATCCCCCATTGTGGTTCCTCCCTATCCCAGGGGTCACCCAGGGTTCTCCACAAGGGGTTTTACCATGGCGACCCGCCATGGTTAAATTTATGTGCGCCATGGTTAAACGAGCTGCGCCATGGTTAAAATCGGCGGCCGCCATGGTTAAATTTTTATTGCATTTTAGTATTTACACCTACTTTTTAATGACTTGAATAGTTAATTGTGTTTATACTACGACTGCCATGCATCTGGTATGCCTCGAGGGAAAGCGGGCTGTGCTAAACAAACACAGTCGCTGATCGGCGACTATGCTGTGAAGCGTGACAATGGAGGGTCAATCAGCTGAAGATCAATATCTTGAGAATGAATTATCCTGTATACGTAGTACACAAACATATAATTTCGGGAAATTCCAACGTGTTCACTATATGATAACAGATCATAATGAGCAGTAGGTATGCCCAGAAAAAATGAGCCCTTTCAAAATTTCCTATTCTTTGTATTTAATCAATTCCTCATGCTTTGTTTTTAAGTATTAACTTTATTATCTTTCTGATAAAATGTACGTAAGTGCCAATCGTCGTCTTAGTTTTAGAGTTACCTCCCGTTTTTATGAAACTTCGCGTGGCGCTATTTTTAGCACGGGCACGTGGAGGAATAAACAATGGAGGAAACTCATGTAGAAAAAATAACGTTAAGAAAAACACAGAATAGTGAAAGCAAAATTAAAGTAATGCAAATTAATGCCCCTGGTTAAACTAAGTTACTTTTACCATGTATGCCACCAGTAAGTTTTCATAGATCACGCAGTTAAAAAAAACTTAGGCATTAGTAGGATGTCGGCTTTCGCTTGTTTGTGTGTCTATTAACTTTTTTTTTTTTAAATTACTACCAATTCATCAGTTTTAGTCATATTTAAATAAAACGTTTTATATAACAGGCAACATCAATTCTGTATATCAGTTTTTGAATACTGTTGCCATGATTACTCTATCAAAATATTATTTTAAAATTCCTTCAAAATGTTCCTACAGTTTTGGACAATTTTGGTACATTTGTAGAGTAATTAAGATACATAATCCTTTTTTATTTTTAATTTTTTAGCTTAAAAAATTATTGGTTATTTCAACTTTTTGTGCTGCAGTGGTTAAGTTTTGTGAATTAACCAATCATTGATTAATGAAGGTTAGGAAGTCTAACATGCATTCATGTTTTTGGTCGCATTGCACCTTTGCGCAGCTTCCTCCATGGTTAAATTTTCAAATGTGGAGAACCCTGGGTCACCATTTGAACAAACTTGAATCTACACTACCTGAAGATGCTTCCATATCAATATGACTAAACATAGCTTTTCAGTTTTTGAGAAGAAATTTTTTTCTATATGTTCTTATGTAAAACTTTCGATCCCCCTATTGGGCCCCACCCTACCCTCGGGGGTCATCATTTGAACAAAATTGAATTTACACTACCTGAGGATGCTTCCATATGAAAATGACTAAACATGATTTTCAGTTCTTGAGAAGAAGATATTTTCCTATATGTTCCTATGTAAAATTTTCGATCCCCCATTATAGCCCATCCCTATCCCCTGGAGTCATCATTTTAACAAACTTGAATCTACACTACCTGAGGATGCTTCCATATCAAAATGACTAATCATGGCTTTGCAGTTCTTCATCAGAAGATATCTTCCTATACATTTCTATTTCAGACTTTTATCCTCCATTGTGGCCCCATTCTAACCCAGGGGGTCATGATTTGAACAAACTTGAATCTACACTACCTGAGGATACTTCCACAAAAAATATGATCAATCAGGGCTTTGCTGTTCCTGAGAAGAAGATTTTTAAAGATTTTTCCTATATATTTCTATGTAAAACTTTGATCCTCCATTGTGGCCCCGCCCTACCCCCGGGGGTCATGATTTGAACAAACTTGAATCTACACTACCTGAGGATGCTTCCACATGAGTTTCATCTTCCCTGGCTTTGTGGTTCTTGAGAAGAAGATTTTTAAAAGATGCTATTAATTTTTCACTAATTCTTTATTATCTCCCCTTGAGAGAGGGCGTGGCCCTTCATTTGAACAAACTTGAACCCCCTTCACCCAAGGATACTTTGTGGCAAGTTTGGTTGAAATTGGCCCAGTGGTTCTTGAGAAGAAGTCGAAAATGTGAAAAGTTTACAGACGGACGGACAGACAGACAGACGGACTACAGACAAAATGTGATCAAAAAAGCTCACTTGAGCCTTCGGCTTAGGTGAGCTAAAAAGCACTCGCGGCCACTCTTCTTGGACGAGTGAAATTTGATTGGGGACAAGTGGATGTAATAATTCGCTTGTCCCTGGTGATGAGTAAAATTTTTGACATGATAATTTTCTTCTGTTTATAAAATCCAGTGATAATGTCACAAAAATGAAATAAAATACTTCCACATTGGACAAGAGACTAAGACTCTGAAATAGTCTGAATAAATAAATATCATATGTACATCATTCAGACTTAGTTTGAAAAGATAAAGAAATCTAAAACAAGCTTTAATTTTTTTTTAATTTTTATTACTTGGCTAAAAAATGAGCTTTATAAGGGACAAGTAAGATCATCATGTGGGTATAATTTATACTCGCCCCACTGGAATGGTTAATCACTGAATCTTTTTTTCTCACCCTGTTTGGCTAGTATTATAAGGTTATATCAAATACGGTGATTTAACATAAAAAAAATTCTGCAATTGTACTTATTTGTGCTAAAAGTTTACAACTGCAAACACTTGTACATGCAGTTTTGAAGTTTGATAGTCACTCAATTATTTTTACTACTCTTCTTAAGATGGGTGTCTGATCTGTATAGAATAGTATATAAGCATGAAACATTGCTTGTAAGATCAATCTGTCAATTCCATTAAATTACTCTTTAAATAATACGTCTAAAGATACTAACTTCCTGTTGTACGTGAATACCAAATATCTCAGACACGCATTATTATGTCCAATCGACCGACTTTTGTCTACTGTTCTACTGCAAAAGCAACGCGCTTCAACTCCATCTTTACAAAAACACATTAAAAAAGAAAGATAAATGTTGTACAAGTATGCTTTCATAAGTATAAACTTTCCAAACTTACTAATTCGTGTATTTTATACCTGAAAAATAGACCAGAACACTTGATATCCTATCTCAATCTTCAGGTCAGGTTTTCTTCTTCGATCGACCCTTGAACTATTCAATGACCAATCATATGTCTCGTTTTCATCAAAGGTGCGCAAACGTTTGTGAATAGTAAAAAGAAGGCAATAAAAACGAAACATGTTTTTAACCAAGATTTTTAATTTTTGCTGTTTCCGGTTGTCATTGTTTGCAAGTATCGCCTGTCGAAGACAGGTCATTGGGTAAAATACGTGTGGATTATAACTAAAGAGTTAGACATTTTCCCCCCAGTTTGATGACTAGAAGTCGGTCAAATAACTTTGCCTCTGTTTAATTAATTCGCACGTACTGTTATCAAAATACGATGAAGGAATGAAAACTTTTGTTTACTAATCTTCTTTATGACATTTTATTATGTTTTTGTCTGATGTAAATTTAACTGTGTTCTTGTTATAAATTCTCTCGTGAAAAAATTCCAAGAATTTTCATTAAAATATAGTACACAATCTTATTTCAGAAGGAAATATCAGTATTCAATGCCTAATATCACTTTCAGACTTCCCGCGCAGAATTTCGAGTTAGCCACGCCCCCCAACTCTCCTTAGTTACATGTCAACAGGTTCAATGGTTGTACAGACTGATGATATGGTACTAGTTCTATTGTGTCGGGATGGTATTTACTGACAGGGCTTAGCAACTTAAGAAGAGGTCCTGGCTTTTTAATCTGGATCTTGTCTTTTTATTCAGTAAGTCGGTGATAGAATATGATACCATTGTTTTTGGCTAATCATGTACAACAAAAGTAAATATAGTCATGGATGATTATCTGATAGTATCATTTTGATAATCAAGAGATAAAGGAGTTTTTAATGCTAGAGTTTCCAAGGAACAGATGTTGAAATGTGTGAAGTCTTACTTAGAAAATTGTAATTTGAATTGGATTTTGTTTTGAGTTACTATAATTATAATGTCAGATGCTTTTAGAATTGATTCCAACATGTGTCAAAGAATTGGAAATATCACGCTATAGCACATATATTTTACAATTATTTTACATTTCTCAGAGGTACATAATATTGAAATAGAATATACGTCTCACATCTTTGTGAAGATTCATTTTAAAATGACATATTTTATGGAAGATGGACTTATCCAGAATTTTTATAGTTTGGAACAAATTAAGAAATTAAGGAATGTTGTGGTTTAATTTAATCCTAAAAATAGTGTTATATCTTTTGATCTTTGTTTCTTCTCATTTTTAATTTTTTTGTCTCTTTTTTTTTTTTTTTTTTGCTTTGGTATATTTATTTGTTTGGGGATTATATATATTAAGTTCATGTTCAAGAAAACATTTTCAATCATTTTTACTTTCACATTTCATTGACCATTTATTTTACATTTGATGAAAGTTACATACCGAATCACATATGAAAAACAGATACCCATTAGATTAAATCAGTGGTATTAAAATATATAATCGTCATTGGATCAGGATGATTTTATTTAATCCAATTAATTCTAGGTGAATTTTTAAATAGGGTTAACCAAGTTTGTAAATCAATGGAGAACAATTCTCTTTGTTCTCTGTAGTCTTTTAATTTAAAATTTCAAGAAATGAAGATTTTTTTCCCCATGAAAGACTGAAGTTTTTTTTTTTTTTTCTGAGTATGACAATTTATGTTGCACATATAACATGCTTAAAATATTGCTGTAACTTGTGATAATTAAAAATACTTAGAATATACCGGTAATATCTTCTTCCCCAAAGCATGAAAATGTGTAATAAGTACATTCGTGTTCACCAGTATAAGGGAACAATACTCCCGAATGCCAAAATATTTATGAGTTCCTCTTAACAATGAAATTAATTACATAATAATAATAAAAAAAAAATGAACAAGGAAAAAAATCGCTAAACTTTATTTTGTACTTAAAAGTTACAATGTAAAAGAAATGAATACATAATCAGTGCCTTGCCTCCACTGCTTCAGCACAATTTATTGTATTATTGTGAACTTGAATTTATTACACCCCAAAATAAAAGATTGTGGTGCATACTGTTTGATCTAGCTGTCTTTTTGTTTGTCTGCACTTTAGTCTTCCTTATAAATTTTAAAATACACAGCATGGAAATTTCATATTTGACTGGTTGGTACCTATTGATAAAGTGTGCCCCAAGATATAAATGAAGGACTTTTGAACAATACTAAGGTCTCACAGACTGGGATTGTAAAATTCTTGCCCCATGACTGTCCATAACTTTGTAATAAGGACATAGTAACTACATACTGGAGGTACATGGATGTTTCGACTTTGAACCAAGGTCATTTAAAAAGGTCAATGTCATGGGATTTTTTGCGGTGTAAAGAGCTAAAGCCACGAACCATCAAATTTGGCCCTGTGTTTTTCACAAAAATAAAGTTTCGAATCAAAAAGAGTACTATACATTAAATGTTAGAGGACAACATACTTGTTTTCCATACGTAACGTATTTTGTTAAATAATGCGCCATTAGGCACGTGCGACGGTTGGAACATGAGACGATGTGATAAAAACGTTAAAAAATGCCGATTTTTTGACACATTTTCCCAAAGTTAGATGTGGCCACAGTCAAGAACATCTTTCATACTTACCATAGATATAGATATTGCCGATGCAAATCTTTATGCTTATTATCGTTGTTGTTCGTGGGTGTGGCCAATATGAAATTTGATTTTATATTTAAATTTTGATGCATCAAATAATCACTAATTTGTGAATCAATCGTTAACATTTAATTCATACACCAATAAAAAACTATACATTTCACAAAATATGCGAGAAAAGCAATTTATTGTTCGTTTAAAACGCTTATTGTGGAAAAACACCTTAAGAATAAACATTTTCTGAAATAAATATCTAGCAAAACATGGTTTTTATTGTGAATAGGTCCATTGTATATGACGTTACTAATAATACGTCAGTTGTGACGTCATAAAGGCTCTAAACTATTTGGAATGTTGCTGAAAAGTTTTGTATGATCTCGAATGTTGTCTTTAATTTATTTGTATGATCTAAGCTCAACTGGATGATACCATCAAATTATTAATTAACAGAAATTCACGCCAAATTGTTTTCTTTACTGCCCTTAACACAATACACCCCCCCCCCCCCCCCCCAAATGCCTGCTTTGTTAAAACTGTTATTAGACCTTCAATTTTATACATCTTTTATTTATATGTTTCTTTTTATTTATTTTTTTTTTTTATATTCTTGAGACAATTTTAATACTATTGTGCGTGTTAACAGACATGACTCAAATTGTAAACAAATTAATAGAGAATGTAGCAAAGATATCACGCTAGACCTTTGTAAAATAAACGAAATAATAAAAACATAACTTGCTCAGTGTGCAAAGTGAAAATTAAAAGAAAAGAAATAAAAAACGCATGTGGATAATCATCTACATTTCGGCTAAACAGAATCTAGGTCACGGGCGCGGGTTCATCAAGTGCATTTGTTTTGACAAAACCCAATATCGGTACACACATACACGTACATGTATACTATAACTATATATTATTTCGTACCAGCATATATAAGCCATCAATGTAATAACTGTATTTAAAAAAATCCTCTGAGATGATTCTTATGCATGTACACAAAAGGGTTAATTTCCATCCTACTTCAAAAGCATATATTAAGCATATATACATGTATTTTGCAATATGTCTGCATTCAATAAATTCGAAGTGAAGATATTGATGATGCATGTGTATAACACATATATACTGATTTTCTTATCATTTGTGAAACATAATTCAACTACACCCAAGTGAGCAAAAAGAGAGAGAGAAAGAGAGAGTCCTTAAAATGTGTTTAAAAATCAAAACAATAAACCAGGAATATGTTCTTTGAAACGTATCAGCGTAAGTTGTTTATAGCTGGTTATTTTAAACCCAACGATATAATATTTTTTTTGATAATACATATAATAATAATATTTTTTTTAATCTATTGTCAGCTTATTCTGGTTTGTACGCTTTTACCTCTTTCCTCAGTATTAATTAATTAGTAGTATTATGATATTTAGAAAGGACTTATCAGGGGTGGATTCAAGACTTCCAGTTGAGGTCGAAAAAAGGGGGGTGTCATAACCTAATGACAGCAAAACTTTAATTAATGTAATTATTCAAAGTTTAATCCTATAAGTTGTCTTGAATTTAACTTTCTTTATTGTTTATTAATAGAAATCAATCTAGAAATTGAAAATTGGTCTAGATTTTCCTATACTCCTCTCATTTTTTCCTCAGTGAAAATGGGGGGGGGGGGGGGGGGGTGCCTGGTGCGGCACCACCACTGTGTACGAAAAAAATATTTCACAAGGGAAGCTGAAAAGAAAACGTAGGGACAGCTCTTATTGTTTCTGCGGGTAAGACCTTTTTTAAGCAAGTTTTTGTTGAATAAAATCAATCTTGCGCTGATTGTAGGACAGTAAGACAAGGATAAATGAACACCTATACATGTGTTTCACTTATGAATGTGACCCACATATCAGCAATATAAACGCAGCTCTACTCTTTTCATAAACCACAAAAAACATTATATATATATGTGCAATGATATCGAAAGTGGGAATTTTACACTTTATAGTTACGTACAGCTAAAAACGAGTATTTGCTCATCTTTAATCATTTTTTACATTTACATGGAAAATAATCATATATAAATTTTCGCAGATTTCTATCTTTACGAATTCCTTGCAGTAAAGATATTTGGGAGAGAAATATTCGAATATTTTGCAAGAGAAGAGTGTGTGTGCGGGGTGTGGTTGGGGTGGGGTGGGGGTTCTAGCAAATACCGATAAATATATAATAATGAACAGGGCTGATTTATTTTTTGCTTTAGCCTTAAATTACTGATTTCTCAACAGATTTATCTTTCCTAAGAATATTTTGTTTGAAATGTATTCCATATTAATCCAAAGAAACTCACATTTAGGGCGACAGTGTTTTAATGAGTTCCGTTTACTAAATAAAGCATTTTGATAAGTTGCGACACCCCTTTTCAATTAATCTATAATGTTTTATGTTTCTGTCTCGAAAACGACATTCAAATTATTGTTATAAATGAATACAATAAAACTCATTTAGTACGAACACGGATATACCGAATGTACAGCTATCGCAAAGTTTTTTGCAATCCCTTGCAAAATTCCTAACAATTCCGTGTAAAATTTTACGGCTATATCGAATTCAGATATAGCAATTTTACGGTTATACCGAACTAATTTTGTGTCCCCCAGAAGTTAAAAATAAAGAAATGTACATCTTTTAGAGCGAATTTTCAAAGATCTAAATTTTTAAAATATTGAACTGATATATTAATTTTGTAAGTAATCATATTTGAAACTCAATTCATCCGAAAACTTTTGAACTCCAAAGTAAATGTTGTATTTTATACTTCTGTAAATACATGTACATTTGTTAGCCATACTTGAAGGAAAAAAAACATATTGCGAAATCTCTATGTATACTTTAAGGAATTTGTTATACGGATATAACGAATTATGGATATAGCGAAGTAATTTCGCAGTTCTCCAGAACTTCGCTATAACTGAGTTTTACTGTAAATGGATTAGAAACAAGTCCTTCCAACTTTTTACTTCCTCCGTTTTTCCAAATCATTTAGATCTTTTATATGTTAAAATGCTCGCAAGTTCAGGATCTAAGAATTTCGGATTAAAAGTCTATTTCCATTTCAACATTTTTTTTTATTTTTTTTTTGCAATTACATCTATAGATCCAGTTATTGAATTACATTGTGGCTCTTCAGTTTAGAAACATTCGTTTTAAGATCATTTCAAGTATCTTATTATTTTTTTCTGACTGCCCCCTTCCCCACTTTGAAAAACAAACTTCGTGCATGGACGCGCATTCCAAAGATATAAGCTTAATATTTGCAGGAATATTGGAAAAAGTCCGGAAAACTAAGCTGGACGGGCTATCGTCATTTGAAGCAAGTCATATGTTTTTTTTAACGATGTTTAATACTCAATACTTACATGTAACTAGGAGCGATGCATCGCACAAAAATATGTTCAAGGGATAGAAATACAATGTTCCTTCTTAAAAATTATAATAGAATAGGGACCAGGTAGAGTGTAACGCAGTTGCCATCAAGACTGCGATGTGACATCAATTTCCAACTGCTCTTAATTGTCTTAAATTAATTATGAAGTTTATTAGTAAGACAAATGTCCATTCCAATTGATACAAATTTTAATTCAAAATCACGTATGTAAAATCGCTCAAGGTTATTTTTCCGCCCTACGACGTTACGTTTCAAAAAATGACGTTCTACTAGCATTTTCTTTTAAAACACCGTCATACTTCAAACTCTCTTTTTCAAAAAAATATAATCGATATTCAAAAAAGAAAAACGGCAAAGAAAAGCTAAAAGTCTACACTATCAACTGACAAAACCCCGTTACTTTTTGAGACAGGGCCATTTTTGATGGTCCGTGGCTCTTGCTCTTTTTGTATAGTCCATAACGTATAATGGAAAAACTCAGACTTGAATGGGGAAGCCTATTTTCAAAGTTTGTCAACACACTGAAAACCAAGGTCATTTTGACAGTGTCAAGGTCAGTTATTGAAAGTTTATATTTTTCTTTGTAGTCCAGCATTTTTAACAGAACAACGGTATAGAAACTCATTTTTTGACACAGAAGCTGCTGATAAAGGGATTATATATCATAATCTTGAATCAAGGTCATTGATGGAAGAATTGTATTACATATTGTATTACACTGTATTATTAGTCCCATTAGTAGCTCAATGATGATCTGTTTAGTTTAAATATAATGACTGTGTCATATTTGAGTAAATTTGTGTTTCCAAAAATGTACCTTGTACTAGCTTTTTTCCCCCTTTTTGTCATATCATAAATTGGCAAAATTTAAATTGGTTAAATTAAAACAAGATGTGTTTGTGAAACAAAAATGCCTCCAAATGTGACCCATTTGTAATTGAGACTTGTTTGACCTTGATCTTGTTGAATTCACCTTGGATCACAAATAACAGCACATCTTCTCCAGATAAACTTGGTATCAAGAATGAAAATTTGATTATACAAAGTTACGCACCAAAGAAGAACTTGCACTTCCAATTCTTGTTACCTTGACCTTGTCCAAATGACCTTTGGCCTGAGTGAGGATATACCTTCTGATCGTCACCTACATTTGTGCCAAATATAATCTAAAATAGTTAAAGACAATATCACTTTTCACTTCCAATCTCTATGTCTCTTGTCTTTCATAACCATGAGTTCAAGTCCTAACATACCAAACTTTTACAGGAACAAAACTGGAATGATCAAATTAAGAACTATTTGAAAATTGTGATTCAAAAATGATTTGGGTAGCAGATAATAGACATGTGGAGAAACAATGGAAGTATTTATATTATGCTAACAGGGATTAATCTAGTGCATATTTACTGTCAATATTTGGTATTTTTCCCCAAGAGAAAATTCCCCCTGAATATCCCATTTTCCCCTTTTGATGAGTAAAAAATTCCCCTTACAATAATAAAAAGCTCAAATAATTTTTTTTTCTTTCATAAAAACTGGAACTTTAAAGTACCGGTAAAAATTTTCAGAAGATGTGAAATATGGTTTTACTTATGCACTCTAAATGGTCATAAAAATGCTGAAATTCAATAGGCCCCTAGCAGGGCTTGCCCTGCACCTGCTGGAGGTCTGGAGTGGCCCCCACACCCCTGGCTGATTTCCCCAATTTCTCCAGAAAGGGTAGTTTCCCCAAAAACCTAGATTCATCCCTGGCTAATAGTCAGATCAGGACACAAATCCTTGCTTTGACAGTACATTATTGTCAAGTTTTGAAGAGCAGGAAGTATATTGAAATATTGCTGCTACACAAGCTAATAAAATTCTTTTCAGTTGAATATATGCTTTTTAGTTTTGGATTGTTCATATACCCATTAAAAGTCTCTGTAATACACAATATTTTGATAAGCACTTCATTTTATGTCATTCATGTTTGTAATATCATCACATAACATTAATTATTAGATCTTGATCCCAGTTACAATATAAATTGTTTCATTGTCATTGGAATGTAATATTTCTCTAGGAAATACAAAAAAGTGTTTACATAGCTACAGGATGTGTTGTCAAACACGTGTACCCCAAAGTGAGGACCCATTGTAATTGGGACAATTTTACTTTGCTCTTGTCCAAGTGACCCTGCGTTCAGGATCATTATAGTCCCTCCAGTCATATCCTACCTTGTATATGTAACAAGTATGAGCCTCTAATGCTTATCAGTTACTGAATTATGGAGTATGGACCTGTTTATTATGTCCAAATGATGTTGAGTAAGTGTTAGGACATGCTCTCTCACAATTATAAATCTACCTTTATGATGGCTGTAAGCTTATTTCTCCATGAGAAATTCATAAAATTTTTACATATTTTGAGCCTTGTCACCCTGACCTTGTCCAAATAACAGAGTAGATCCATGTCACATCCTGTAATCATAACCTTCATTACCGTAAACTTCTGATCTTTCTACATTACAGAGTTATAGATATGAATAATAATGTTGCACTTCCAATCCCTTTAACCTTGCCCTTGTCCAGATGACCTAGCTGCAGGTCTCTTGGTGATCTGTCCCTTTTTTTTTTTTTTCAGACCAGCCAGCTACAGATCTGCAGCTTTGAATAAGAATTATGACATACCCTCTCAATCACGAACTACTTTAGATCACTATATTTTTTTGCAACACCTTATTTTCACGAGATAGCTATATGGTTATATTTATAAGTGAGACAAAATTTTTGTGAGGTGTGGTTTCTTTTGTATATAATCCTCAACAATACAAATATACACGAGAATAAAATTTTCGCAAGCAGACAGACTTGCGTAATTATGTGAAAATAAAGTTCTCACGAATAAAACGTGATTTACAGTACTTTTGCACCAATTTCAAGTTATTAGCATAGTCAAAGTTGCAGAGAAACAAATGGGTGGTGCAAGTTGTTATGTAGCATAGTGATGAATAGATTTGTTCAAGATTTCATACAAACAAATGTACTGTAGTTTGTGTCAAAGCAGAATTATGGTACAATAATAATAAAGTACGTTACTTGTCAGTTTGCATTTACCTGTACCAGTAGTATACTACATGTATTAAATTCGCACTATCAACAAGCAAAACCCTTTGTTCAGAATCATTTGTTCATGTTGACAGGTGTTAAGTACGGACAAAAATTAATGGAATTTCATGTTAACTCTTGACTTTATTAGATAAACTCATCAAGATAAAAAGGGGGAGGGGGTTCTTGAGGTTGAATTTTATTTTGTTTAGGTTCTTGTTTTTCTGGTCTTTTCTTGGTTAATAAAATAGGTAGGGGAGAGAATTTGCAGCCAGCCATTAGTTAAGCATCTGAGTAGAGATGAAGAGTTAAGTAAGTCATCAATAGTCATAGAAGATTTTCTAGACTCTAACATGCATTTTGCATTAAGGATCTTGAGATCAGAAGCAGGAAACAGATTTATTTTTTTTTTTTTTTACACCTATACCTGTTGTATAGGGAGTACATTATTGAAACACTTCATAAGTGTTAAACTCCCATTACAGAGAACAATTGGGTGGGGTGGAATTCCGTTGCTGTTCTCAGGAACGTTGTATTAGACATGAATCACAAGATGATCGTTTATCAAAGCCCTTTAACTAAACACCCATTGACTTTTTGACAAAAGACCATGTCAGACCGTAAACTACCCTGCAGTCCGCTGGTAACAATGTTTACCCATGTACGGCCCTCGTTGCCAGCCAAAAAATCTTTGACAAGCGAGAAGTGAAGCTATGTAGGCAGGGATATTCATTGAAAGTGGATTTTCTTTTTAAATGCAGTTGTTCCACTTGAATTGTGTGTTAAATGGCCCAGGTGCTAAGGTGAGAGATGGATTTTTTTAGTCTTTGCATGGAGAGGATGGTATTCAAACTTTTAAAATCTTTCCATGTTGGTATTCATAGCATGCCACTGCGTTCTCAAGGCCAATGATAAACTTTGAATTAAGGTGATTTGGCCAATTGGTGCATAGTTAGTGGGTTTTACATTTAATTCAGTAATCTATAGTGTGCCAAGTTTTTCATAAGAACAATTTCATTAATTGAGTAGATCAGTTCACAGGCACCTGTTGATATTTATTTTTCTTATATTAAAAAATATATACCCTCTAGCTACCTGATAAAACATGATTTATTAGGAAGGGGGTATATTTTTTTCCCTTATTAAATTTCTTGAGACAAATAGCTGAAATGTAATATTATCTTGATAATTTTTCCCATCCTTGTATCTTTATGCTTCTAGCCCTCAGTATAAACATTTTGGAGACTCCACATTTGCCTGTCTGTTCTTTTACAACGCAATATGTTTAACCTTGGTCAAAAGTGTTGAACTCAGCTGATTCATAGAAACATCATTTTATTCAATTCCGAAAGAAAGGTCTGAGGTTGCAGATGCCATGACATATATGTCAAGGTCATACAGTACTTCCTACTTTGAGGTTGCAGATGCCATGGTATAAATTATGTCAAGGTCATACGAACAGTACTTTCTACTTTGTTGTGGACAGGGATAATTATTTTGTGCAGGAAGAACACATTTTGTTTTGTTTTTCATTGCCATGGATTGGTCATAAATATCATTATTAATATGTAACTTTAATCAGATTAAGATTCATCTGTTTGTATCCTGATTTCAACTTTTTTTTCTCTCACAAAGTACCAGACAGAATGTTCATTTGAGGTACATTGAATTGCTCAAGTCATTATTCAAACAATTTCAGAATTTCAAAATAGTTGTCTTGTGTCTAAGTGTTAAGCTTTGAATTATCTTACATTTGTAAAGTTGAAAAAAAATTTAAAGGTAGACACACAGTGAGTTACTGTTTTTGTTGAAGCTTGTATTAAAGTCAGGGATTATCTTCATTTGATAAATAGAAGGATTTATCTAAAACCAGTCAGATATGATTATGGAAATGGTTTTATGTTTAAAACTTCTAATGGACTGGCAACATTGTGGAGAATTGAAGCGTGTCTAACAGAGACTAAGGCATTGCATTGGATCCATAGAATCATATGGATTTATTAGCTATACATAGATACATTGTTTTACTATTTTACTGGAAGTGGGAATCCACATTGATTGATGATCTGTGTTTTTAAGTTCTACCTTTCTTGCCTGGTGGATGAGATTAATTAATATGAGAAAATGTTTTGAGTTAAAATGCCTCAAAAACACAAGAAGAAAAAGGATTCTTTAAAACACACACAGTCTTCAAAGTAAGTGATGAAAAAATTGTGTTCATATTCCAGTTAATCATTGATAGTATTGAAGAATAACTAGAGGTATGGGCTTTTTATTCTGCTGTTTTAACCTTAAAAATCTTTCTAGCTTTCACAGTCATAAATTTTCATTATTTGACCACCTGATTGCATTCCATGTTTGAAGTTTGACAAATAAATTGATTGTTTGAATATCTATTGTATTTCATTCAGAAATTTTACAAATACCCTCAAAGCAAACCGCTCAGACATGAAAGAATCTCCGAATAATAACCAGAAATTGAGATGAGAGCCTGACTTTTATATACAACATAATCAGGATGTTGAAGTTGTCCTTTATTTTCTATTTTTTTATACATCAAAGAATCAATGTTTTCTCAGACGAGTTATTACAAAGGAAAATACTAGCTGCTTTGTTATTTTATGAATAATTCATGTAGACTTAGGAATGGCTGTCAGATAATGCCATTATGGTGTTTGTATATGGTTGGCACATTTGATTTTGCAGATCCATATTTCCATTATTCTGTTGTTGTCATGGAAGTGAGGCCAGGATTTCAAAGAGAAAAGTTAACCAACTTTTGTTTAAAAATTATTGCAAAGTATACAACCTGCATATGAAATTAACAAGAAAAAATTGTATGTCATAAAGTAATATACATGTATAAAATCCAAACCAAGTTAATGCCAAGTTTTCCTAGAGTCAAAGTTAATCAAAAGTCAGTCTTAAAGTGATAAGACTTGACGAAAAATCAATTTTTGCAGAGTTGATATACACCTTTCCAACAAATGAAATATTTGCTCGAGAGATTTCAAATAGGTGCCATCAATGATTTAGATTTCGTTTATGACATTATTGTTTGACATTGTTATCGTACTCGGAATCAAAGTTTTGGTAAGGAAGAGTTCATCACTGATATGGGGAATGCGAAGTGCATTTAAATGTCCAATGTTTGGATAAAATGGAACATTAAAATAAACAGTATTTCTATCTGTTACACGGGGATTCTCCAGTTGTGAAGTGCCTTATATGTATAGTTACCAAATATTTATCGTCCCTTTTACCCAGTCTAAGGTCACTAACTGTCTAGCCGACTCAATTAGTCTGTAATAAAATAAGAGCATTCTTCCTTAAATACAATGATTGCAGTGTATGTGTTACATTCATTGGGTGTGTGTCCATGAAGAGTTTTGTTCTTAAAAGGATAATGTCAATAGCTTTTAAAGTTGAAGTGGATCGTCTTGTATTGTGTCAAACACTCTATACCACTTGTCAAAGATTATATTAAGTGCAGTGAAAGGGATTCTAAAGGTATTTTAATTGTCACTGCATATTTTAATGAAATCAACATGAAGTAGAGATTTGAATTTTATATATTATGGATATAAATACATATATCTTTGATATAAAGAATTGCTGATCACAAGAATTTAAAGCTTCAGATTTTATTCTTACTATCAGTAAGCTACTTTCTGTCTTAGACTAGAATCATGCAAGACTTGTGGAAGCTGATGTTCAGCAAAGTTTCCTCTTATCATGATTCTGTAATGAGAAAACATCAATCAGTTTACCAGGTCTTCAGATCCAATTGATTTTTTTTCAATCAATTGTCCTGTGGAAAAAAAAATGAGGAGAAATCTGTAGAGTCATGTATAGATGTATGGTCTGTGTTTTGTAGGTTGAGTGGGGGTCCATCACAGGATAACCCTTTTATCACACATCTAGGGGACGGTGACCCTAATCTACAGCCCCACCCCCAGCACCTTCTTAGATCCTCCACCCCAGACGAGGAGCAGACCTTGCAGCTGGTTATCCCTGAACTTGACTATTCAGGAACAGCTGAGCACTCACTCAACAACTCAGGCAGCAACAAGGAACATAATCACTCAGGTCAGTCCATGGAAGGTGTATAGCTCTAGGTTTACAATGCCTCCATGGCCATGATGAAGAAATAATTTTTTTACTTAACGATTTTCAGTGTTACCCTCAACTAAATGCAATATTTTTATATTGTTTAAGCGAATACCTTCTTACCTCCATATAAAAAAAGCATTTATATTTTTATTACCAAATGGGAAATAAGAACTTTTTTGTATAGATTAATTGGATACATTTGCCTTCGAAACAATGTATGTGCACATGTACTTATTGTATTCAAAATTAAGCACTCATTGGTTAAGGACCATCAAGAGCAAAATTGAATTAATGCCATCATTATTTCCATGTATTGTATTCATATAAAATCTTACATTGGAGGAATTCATTAAATTAATTAAAATGCAACAAAGGTACCAAAGGTTGATTCTCACTGAGATATGCAACTTGATACAATAATTTTGATTTTTTCTGCAAGATTCATTCTGTCCAAGTTTTACATACACATCTCTCAAAGAAGTTTACAAAATATTTTCAACATATATAAAAGAAAAAGATTTCCTCCATTTAGAAACCAAGGAAGTTGATACAAAGGAACCAGTACCTGAGCCAGAACCTCCTACCACTGTAGAAGAACCACCTAGACCTCAATCCAGGCATTCCTTTGTTACCTCAAGGAGTTTCCTCAAAGACAAGATTTCACCCTCCACAAAACCATTTAATAAACAGGTGTATTTTGTGTCTTCAAGTTCTGAACCTCATTTGCGACCTGAGAGTCGCTGCACAAACGTGACAGACTCATTCAACAAACCGATTGTAACTCCCATAGTGGAGAATCCATATGCTCGAGTGGACTCAGGGTATTCGAGTCGTTACAGCAACAGGAGCTATAGTGCAGGTTCTATACGCAAGGTTACTCACAGCCCAAGCAAAATGAGCTACGGAATGACCGAGCATTACTCAAATACTCATGTCCAACAACCGTGTAATCGGACACAGGAACGAGAGGAGTTGCAGCGGATTAATGACCGCTTCACAGCGTACATCCAGAAGGTCCGCCATTTACGAGAACAGAGTGGACATCAGGTGGATGCAACGTCTTTCATTAAGTCTACAAAGGTTTTAGAAGATGAGCTCGCCACTCTGAAGGATCTGTATGAAAGAGAACTGGACAATGTTAGGTAAGACTGACCTGTTGTTGTCAGGAAGTTTGGAAATAATTTGTACTGTAGATTTGTGTTGTGCTATAAATACCATGTTTAAACCATACACATTTACATTAAAATAATTGTAATAATATTTATCAAGTGAAACCTGAAAAAAATTCTACAGAGAGTAATCAATTTTTACATAAAAGTGGATCAATAATTCAAAACAATATTATGTTATACATACATCTTTCCTTTTAAGGTAGTTTTTTACTTATAAAAGTATTCACATTCTAGGAAACAACTGGAAGAAGTTACAAAAGAAAGGAATTCATATCAGATGCAGTATAGCAAGAGTAAACAGTTTTCCTTAGATCTGGAGAGCAGGTAATTCTACGTTGTAAATTACTGTATACAGAGAAATTTTCGCCCATTTTATTTTTGCCCCTCTCTCCCTCTTTGTGAGTGGGTGAATTTAAAACTGGGCAAATTCAAAAGGGATAGCATTGTCTCTTTAACAAATTTGTGTCCGGGTGAATTTAAAACTGTGAATAAATTGTTTGCAAGTGTGAAAAGGCATAAATATCATGTGGCTAAAGTAACCATGTATACAGTAAGGACTTATTTGATATTATACAGGAGTCTTCCTTTTATCATGTATATACAGTTTACCCATATTCCTCATTAGCGAACCATTACAAATTATAGATGAGTCATTTATTCAGCTTGCAGGAAAGTTCTTCTGCTTGAATGAAAAACCTTTCTAAATGAGTACCAGTATCTTTATGTGCTGAACTCTGTTTAACACCAATTCAACATATGTTTAATTATTTGCAACTGTCCTCAAATATTTGTCTATATACCTATCTTTAAATGATTGAACCTATCTCCAAATAAATTGAAGATAGGTAGATCTAAATAAATTATCTGAAAATGTATACACTATACCTATCTTCAGTTAAAGGGAGATAAGTTCAAATGAATTACACCTTTCTTTTATTCAGTTCCACTAATCTTTTGAATAACAGATAGTATTAATTAAATCACATTTATTTCTTGAGGATTTGAAAATATATAATGCTTAACTCAACCCTTTTGGGTATGATGTAGATATTAAGGAAGGTCTAATTATTATATAAACAACATTCCTCCATGATCCCAAATTTTCTATGTTCACTGAATGCTTAATTTTGCAAATAATGAATATGGTAGTTTATATGACACATACTGTTTCCTCAGTGTATGATAAAGAAGATGGAAATTTACTGTGCTTTGATAAAGAAAAAGAACTTGTACAGTTTACCTACTAACCATAAAATACAGTGCAGTAACCTTAAGTAATTGCTTTTCTCAAGCACATAAAGTTGAATAACAGAATTACAGCATCTAGGAATTTTTCTGTATATTTTAACCCCCCCCCCCCCCAATGATTTTGCCCCATTTGATAGATACATGTAAGTCCAGTGTAATTTAGGTAAAAAATTTAGAGGAGAATGACAAAAAGAAGGCAAAATGAAAATAAGGTAAATGTTTTGTAGAGTACAGTAGTTATGATGCAGTAGCTGATGAAGCTTTAAAAATGTTATTTTGAAATTATTTATCTGTATGTATGTCTCAACAGTTATATTGAACAAGACCCTGATATAAGGTAGGAAATCCATAGCAGTTCCCATTACTTAAATGTGTTACCTAATGATGTTACAGTGCTGTAAACCCCATACCAATCTACTTAACACCTTGTTTAATGTTTCAACCATTGTCATCCATGACCTAATTTTATAATTTAACTATCACATGTCATAAATGTACCCTCTAAATTGGTTTGTCGACCTTGTTTGTGTAATAATTGTCTAAATTCAGTTGTACACTTAGTCTTGTAAGAATTCAGATATTTAGAATTTAAGAAATTGTGTTTTTGAAATTCTTATTGTACATGATATTGAAGAAATGTGAGAATTTGAAAATTAATATGTTTACACAAAATTTCATCATCCTTTTAATAGATTAATGGTAGAAACAGAGAAAAATAGGAAACTAATGGAAGAAGTTAACATCAGTCATAAACGAATCCAGTCTTTAGAAAACGAGGTTTCTGAGTCCAGAAGGAGTTCAGGTCGACCTTTTGATGACATCAACAATTTGACAAGAGACGCTGAAAAAATGACAAGGGAGATTGAAACTCTAAAGCGCAGGTTTGTCAAAACAGGAATATTTTAAAAATTAATTCTCCTCTTGGATGATTTAGTTCTAAAAGGCCTTGAAGTAGTTGATCCTAACTCTGACCTAGCTTATCCTCATTTTCAAGAGCTTGACTTCGGGTCAATAGATACATGAATAATTTTTTTCTAGAATTATCGAAATGTATCTTTTGGGTTGCATTTTGTCTAATGTATTATTTGAAAAATTTATCTAAGTATTAATTTTACCCAAGTGCAATAACAATGATTTTGTTCCATTTAAAAAAAAATCAAGAGCATTGTGACTTAATAGTTATGATATATGGATTATTATTATTTTTAACAAGATCTGTGTGTTCCCTCGATTTAGATATGAGAAGGAACAGCTGATGAGACAGGAATCAGAAGAGAAGGCTCACCTAATGTCCCAAAAGATGGAGTTTGATAACCAAGTTCAGGGCCAGCAGATCAGAGAATTGAGAGAGCGATTGGAGAACGCCAACGCTACCATACTCAGTCTGGAGACCCGCATACGACAGTACAGCAAATCCGATACATCTGTGTCAGCTCTGCTTCAACAGGTCAGAGAATCTGCAGAGGAGGAAATGGCACGATTCAAGGCTGAATTGGAGGAAACCTATAACAGAAATGTATGTGGGTCTTTTTATAAATCTTGAAAAGCATAGCTGCTGCTGAATTTTGGGAGTAAATTATTAACTTTGTAACCCTGAGAGATATTTCATTGGTAGATTTTGACAATTTTCACTGGTTAATTGAATATATTAGAATTCCTTCAAGGTTCTTTTGATAATTTAATCCTTATCTTTAGCATATTTGTCTGTTTTCTTCTCTTTTTTATGGTCTTTTTTTTTATTTAGATAACTGCATTGAAAACTCAAATGGAAAATGATGCAAAAACATTTGATAGACTGAATACAGAGAAATCACAGATTTTGGGACAAATTGTGGAACTCAAAGCTAAGATTACTTCTCTTGAAGGACAGGTAAATTGATCCTCTGCGATTTCATCACAAAATAAGTTTCTTGACAAGATGAATTAATCATAAATACTTAAATCATATATACATGTTACATTTAAAATATAGATACAGTCATAAGAGTTTTATTCTTTAAATTATAAATGCAGAGAGTATTCTCAATACCATTGTAACTCAAACATAAGCATCATTTTATAAAAATAAAATTATTTTTATCATGCACAGATACAGAATTTGAATCACCAGAAAGAGTCCCTAGAGGAGATGGTGGCCCAGGAAAGAGCCCGGGCCAGTGAACAGGTGGCGGCCATGTCAAAGAAGCTGAAGGACGTCCAGGACATGCTGTTTGTGAAGATAAGGGAGGCAAGCCAGTCACATGACTGTCACATGCCACTGAAGGCAGAGATCAGTGCCCTGAAAGCTCTCCTGGAGGAGGAGGAAAAAAGGTCAGTTGCAAAGTCTTCATGTTTATGCCCAAAATTTCTAAATTTCTTTTTGACATTATGATTTGAAAAAAAAAAATCCTGCTGATGCCCATGCTTACTTCTCATTTTTCAAAAACTGTGAAAAATGGTAAAAGCAAACACAGCTATAGAGAGTACCTGCTTAGAAAGAAATCATTAGTTTTTACAAAATTTAATGAATAAAATATCACCTAGATATACACTATATTGGATGATGGCTTTATCGAAGCAATTTTGAGTGTCCCAGTACGTATGTTATAACTGCTAGGTTGTTTTAAGACCATAAAACAAAAATATAGATCCATACTGAAGACAGCACAGATTGTGTCAACAGTATAAATTTTGTGTCTGACAATTATTTAAATGCATACTTTCATAATAATGTTGATTATTGAACTTTAATGTCTTGCCATTTCAGGTTGCAAGTACCATCAGAGGAAGTAACAAACACTATGTCTTATACCTCCACAACTCAGGCAGACACTGCAGCTGTAACCTGTGCAGAAACGATGACCTACGCCCCTCCACCTGCTGTTTCCATGACCTCCTACACCCAGCCGTCTGCCCCTCCCATGTCTCCCTCCTTTGCCCCACTGACCGCCCCAAATCTGACGAACGAGTACATTCCTCAGTATGATCCTGTGACATCAGAAGAACTGGATGCAGCCGGTGTGGGACTGGAGTATTTTGGGGGAGGGACTCGATATACATACCAGACAACACCCAGTTACAACAAACTGCAGATCGAGCCCTCACCCCCCACCACCCCTCGCCCTGTGGGGCCAGTGATGAGAGCCAAGTCTGCCCCAGGTAATTAGATTGTATGCTGCTGTACCTTTTGTACTGAAGAATACTGAAGAAAGTACATGTACATTGAAAAAAAAAATACTGAGTAAGCTGAAAGATAATTTCAATCATAGTCACTTTTATTTACATTAGTAATACTAATTTAACCAAAAATCCATACAAGAGATTAGATAGATGTTTTGTACTTTGCCTGCAGAAATTAAAGGGAAAATTATTTATGGCCTGAAAGGGAAATTTAAGTTGCCAATTATTGTGGGAAAGGCAATGTTGCCAAAATCCTTAGCTGAAAACAAAACAGGTACCCTGCACATAGGAAGCCTGGTAGTATATTGAATTTGGAATGATATGATAAGTAATTCTGCAAACTATTAGGAATTATTGCATGATATTCATTTTGGTAATGGTACAATATCTGTGTATAGTCTTAATGCATGTCTGTATAGAGTCCATGAATTTATTTACTGGTAGTAAAAAAAGAACAGAGCTTAGCTTAAAAAATATGAACAGAATTAGAAAATTAAAAAACCTCAGTGAACTCTCATTTTTTAAAGAGGGAAATTTGAAGTAATTAATGTAAAATTTGCATGTGCTGTGCAATTCTTAGATTCTTGACATTTGTTGAATGATTTCCAGAGTTCCTTACCTTTGGGTATATATATATTCCAATTATTTGATTACATTACAGACGAGCCAAATAGTCCCCCCCTTAGGAGGCCCCTGAGTGCCAAATACTCTTCCTCAAAAGATAGTGAATCAAGGGAGGCAGCTAGAAATATTTATAAAATCCCAGAGAGACCCAAAACTGATAGATATTACTCTTCACCCATATGTAGGCGGGTCTCTGATGTCACAGTGAGTGACAGCACAGACAGCCCATGCCCCTCCCCCCAACAGTATAGAGGTATCCTCACATGAGTGCTGTGTATAAGGCACCTCAGCTCTTTGCTCTTAGAAAAATAATTTGGATTGTTGTGGCAGTGATCAATTTCCTACTTATTCTGAAAAAATCTTTTTGGACTTGGCAATAACCTATTTTCTAGAGTGTTTCACAGTTTCATTTTCAAATCTGAGAAAAGTTAATAAATCCCCAATCAACACATTGTCTTTGTTTTGCTAGAAATGAAGGCTTGATTGCAGCACATTCTTTTTTGACTTGTAAAACAATCTCTTAAAATTGTGTGTTTTTATGCTAAACTGTCACTTATGCTTTAAAATATGAACATCTTATATAAATTGATAGTTAAAAATACAGCTAAATGTTAGCAATGATACATTTGACAACTTTGTTGTTACATGTAATGTGTAATTTGTGCAGACTGTAAACTACTAGTTTGTGGCTTAATCACACTCTTTATCTTATGACATGGACATTTTGTTTTTGTTAACAGCTGGGGCTCATGTCAGAGGTCAGAATGTCCCTCTTATTCCTACCAGCATGGGTCAAGGTCAGGATTACTTTGATGAGATGTTCCGTGACCTTGCCAGGGAAACCCTGTACACGGCCCCCTCCCCACCCCCACAAAAACAGCAGAGGAGTAAATCAAGCATGGAGAAGTATCAGAGTTCAGTATACCATGACTACAGCACTGCCACATCCAGGTAATACCTTCAGTCATGTGACTGTCACATGACCATATTGTTGTATAATTTGCAAATACAATATACATACTGTCATACATGTATTTAAAAGTAGAAGTGTGATATATCTTCTTTGTTTTTCAATTATGTTTCATCTTCTTCTGTATGCATGATATTATACAATCATATTTTTCAATTGTGTTTGTTAGTACCAGCTTTCAATCTTATGTTCAGTTCAAAATTAAGACACATATAATCATGATAATATGAAACTTTTTACTAAGTTTTTCATTTGGTCTCTCAAAATCCAAGATATTGGTAACTTCAGGAGAAAAAAAAATGTTTATCACAAGTACATGAAAGTGTATAGGCTTTGCCTGTTTTTATTTAAGTAGAAAGATCATACATGCAGTCATGTATTTATCAAACAGCTAAAAGATATACCAGTTGCTTAATTTCTAAAATCTTAAGATATGAAGCTTCGATTCTTACAAAGCTTTGTGAAAGGATGTTTAATCTTTCATCATATAAGATGAAATTAATTATTTACATATCAGGCATTTATTACAAGAACTTGTACAATAAGATACCCATCCAATCCCACATTATATTGATAGGAAATACATGGATTGATACCAAAATGGTTAAAATTCCATGTAGAAATGAATTACTACAATTTTAATGTAATTAGTCTGCCCTTTTGCAGTCGTTCAGAGACCCCCGAGTATCCACGACACTTACTGCCCAAGGACGCTCTTGTGTTTAGGTACACCTCTCACCTTCTGCTTGCTTATAAATCCTTTTTTTTTTTTTATCTTTTCTTCAGTATTTGCCCACCCTATGTAGATATAGTGCTTTTGCAATCCATTATACATGGATATGTGTGTGTTCCTTCACTGCTGTTAGTTCCCTGCATGCATCGGTTTGACCTTAGTTTATTGCCAGGGGTGTTATGACCTTGATATGTTGAGTGAACCAATTTCTGTAACTGTTTCATTTGTTCTTTTTTTATTTGAAATTTTTAAGCAGAACGAGAGCAATTTTGTGAATATTTTCATTCATCTTGAATGTTAAATACCACTTTTTTCTTAAAACTTTTATGAATTTATTATTTTTTAATTTATTTTAATTTATTTAATTTATTGAATGCAGAGCCAGAAACTGGTTTTACTCTTTTGACAAAATGTATTCTTCGTACTTTTGATGTGTGCTATTGTTTTCGAGTTTTAAACAAGGTTAAAATGTATACATATATATACTGGTACCATTTGGTCATGGGCTTAGGGAAAATTTAAGAATTGGTCTATGAATCACAATTTGTGGGAAGAAATTTCTTTGAAATCCATTATTTTAAAAAAAATAACACCAAAGTTTTGTAACAAATAATGAAAATCTTTGAAAAGCATGATATATGATTGCAGAAGATATATTACTGTAAGTACATGTACTTATATCAAAGTCATAGATGTATGGCAGACTTGCATAGTCTATCACATTCCCCCCAGTGTGACTTTATAAAAATATTGGAAATCACACAAATTTTTCAATGCTGTATTTTGGTCAGGCAATACAGCATTGCATTAATTTGAGAACAAATGATTTACAGGTATTCCCCAGCACAACATACTACAGGATTCAGTTCCTCTTATTTCAAAAATATTTTTGCAATACAGACAATCTGGTGTAGTTATGGGCCAATAAATTTCCAGTATGTAGTAGCTGCAGATCTGTAGGTCACTGGTCTAAAAAATAATTGGGATGGTCATCCATTGAAGTTTTTTTTTTCAGACTGGTAAGCTACAGATCTGTAAGTGTTCTATCAGATTAGGATACCTGTGATGGAACGTAACTTTTATTATATTTGTTAAAAGTGAAATAAGCACAATATTTAGTAAATATTTACTGACGTTATTGCCAGAGTATTTATTTTAAACTTTTGAATCGTTTTAAGCTTCGATCTAATTAAATTTGCTCTCTTTGACTTTTTCATAGCTGCATCTGCCAATGTCTAAAATATTTTCTTCTTGCCTTAGTAATCATTAACTAAATATAAATTCTTTATCTTTTTATACATCTGCCAACCCTTCTCATTTGCATAACTCTTAGGGATGTGCGATTTTATCGGTTTACCGATTTTTAATTGCGTGATACGTATCGTGATACGGAGACTGAAATACCGGTATTTAGGTACATATTTATAAATTCCAGAAAATTATTCATTTATTTGTTCAATCTTTCAAATTATAATTACAGGAAGTGTAAAAAATGTTGAAAAGGGTAAAAGAAAGACATTCTAGCATCCACAATTGCTTGATATTAATATTATGTCAATAAAAAAATGAAAAAAGTTAAGTTATGTTTTTCCAGCATATTTTTCGGAAAAATTATGAATATTCATTTAAAATCACTGTAAAAATTGCTTGTAAAAATATCATGATATTATCGTGATATCATGGGGAAAAATCGTGATATATCGCGATACGAAATTTTTGGCAATACCCATCCCTAGTACATGTAACTCTGAAAAAGAATATTAAGGTATATAGTTCCCCAACTTCTGTTTCCATTTATCTTGATAACAGATGGTAAATGAAAAATACTTTGAACATAAAAAAAACATAAAAGTTTTCCTGAGTTACTGAGTATTAATATTGGTATTTTTAGTAGATTGACAGAATTTACAAGAGTATGTTAAATGGTACAACACACCTAAATATACTTATAACTCTCTGTAGACTAGAGTATTGTAGAGTATTGGGGGGGGGGAGAGAAGGTATTTGGGTGTCCCACAAGGTAGACTGGGCTTTATTGTGTTTACAGGTCAAAGATAGTTTCAAGGTGTAAAAGAATATTACTTTAAGGAATAATCTGTTTTTGTGTGTAATAAAAGTTAATATAAAATTTCTTAGGAGGCCTATGGTCAGACGCCTTAGACCATCTAGTACACACATACTAAGGTATAGTGGTCATATATGTCATTCTAAATTTAACAATCACAGGAAGTACACTAGCACGGAATCTAAGAAGGAGTTTGAAATACATCAATAAAGAAGCAGTAAATGTAACAGATATTTTTTGGCCCTTCAAAAATGACTTTTAAAAATTTTGTTTTTTATTTTGTTGTGAAATATTTGAGCAGCAGTGTGTTTAGATATAGGGTTTTCCCATTTTTTGTTTAAACCTATTACAAAAATCTATTTTTGAGGGACCAAACTTTACGAGTTCTTGGATATTTCCTTTTCCGTCCATCACTTCAAACCACATAAACGTTAACTGGTCTTGACATGTAAAAAAAACCCACTAAATTGAACTCACCCATACTAATTATGCTGAAAAACCAATGTCTTTTCCTAGACTGTGTGAAGTAATTCGTAGAGTTCATTAATTCACTGTTTTATTTAATATCATATTATTTTGTGGTTGTCAATATTGATTTCAAAATCAATTGTTTAAATAAAGAATAGGGATTCCTGTTTAGCCTAATTTTACACTTGTAGATATCGTAGTCAATCCTCTTTTTGATAAAACTGCTTTGATTCTTTTTCTTTACAAAGAATTATATAAAACACACAACTGTTAATAATTGGATGATTCCATGGTTCAGTGACAGAGTAATTTTAATAGGTCAGATGAGGTAGAAACACATACATGTAGTCATGTACTAAGCTTTATCTTAAGAAGGAAATAAATATTTCTGTTTAAAATATCAATTTAGATAAGAAAGATAACTCTTAATTTATTTGTGGAAACAGTCCAATGCTATTAAGAACCTAGATTTCTAATTATTCTTGTCCAGTCCATATACCTCACATAAATGTTTTTATTTGTGGAAACAGTCCAATGCTATTAACGTAGGTCGCGGGTTTGCAGGCCATTTAAAAGTGTCCGAAAACATACCATGAAAATTAGTTATATGAATCCTCTACCTTCGTTTTATATTCTCTGAAAATTTTATAAAATTCGTCTGCATCGTTTTTATGTAATTAAATCCCAAACATGCCATTGTTGTCGTTACATTTTCGACGTTATTCTATTGAATTATATGAGAAAAACGTCGTTTTCGGCTCGTTTTGAGGCAAGATTTTGTTTCAAAAAATATCAATAACTTTTAAATGGTGCAGACGAAAATGTTTTCCCTTTGGTATTTTAACAAAGAATTGATTTGAAATAAATCAATGTGAAAAAATTAATATGTCTTCGGGTTAGTTTTCGCGTAATTTAAATGTGGATAATTGCTTTTGTATCGCAAAATGTAACATTTTTAAGAACGACGTCATAAAATATCGCGACGTCATGCTTGACGTCGTGAATATCTATCCGGTATTCAGTGCAGAAAAATAAGCTAAACTTATTTTTATAAAAAAAGAAATTCACATCCATCTGCATTCAAGTGACCCGTGAATCGTATCATGATAATTAAATATCTATGAAATGATTATTAGACATGTTTCTCTTCAGATTAGGGTTTTTGCACGTCTTATATTAGTGAAAATTCTCGCAAGGGAGGTAAAACAACAGTCATTTTCTTTAGTTTCGTTCTTCCAATTTACTTTCTTTATGTGTTGTTTTCTTACCATTTTTTTTCTGTTTGTTTTGTTTTGCTTTTTTTCGTTGATTAGACGTATCCTAACATTTGGCTGTGTATTTTTCTTTTCAAGCGTGCTGGCGGAAAACGGTATCCCTTAATTCAAGTAATTCAGTCAAGTATATAAAATGTTTTTATTTAGACCATGCAGCAAAGCGCTCAAATCTACGAATTTCTGCCAAATATCGTCCCGGCTAAATACAATATATTTTCAGTATATATTTAAACAAAATATTAATTTTTACATACCACATTTTCAGAGGGGTAAATGGGACGAGGATTTAAGAATTAATTTTATCTGACGTAATCAACAGCCAGTTTTTTTAAAACATTAATTCTACTTGTTGGAAAGCAAAGTAGCGAATAAAATCTGTAGGTAACAGCATTGCAAGCTGTTGCTTAGGGGACGATCATTTCAGGGGGGGGGGGGGGCGGCTTACAGATTTTGGAAATAAATAATCTGTCCTCGAAAATGTTGAAAATAAATAATCTGTCCTCGACTGGGCAAGAAAATAAATAATCTGTCCAAGACTAGTTCTAGCACCCCCCTCCACACCCCCCCCCCTCCCCCCCCGCCCTGGGAGTTTTCAACTTTGATGTTTTTTTTTGTTTTTTTTTTTGTTTTTTTTTTGCTTGTCAGACTTTTTTCAGTGAAGAAGAAATAAATAATCGGTAGTTGTTTTTGGAAATAAATAATCTGTCCTTCACCGACATATAAACCCCTCTCCCTCAGAATCAAATAGTTGTCCCCTAACAGGAAGTCAGTGTCGCTAAAAATTGTCTTAATGTTTCATCGTATCTTTGTATTTAATTTATGATAAACTTGTACATCTATATATTTTTTAAAAATATCCTGTTTAAAAATAAAATTTAATCTTTTGATGTAACAGGTGTATTTGCGATTTTTTTAAGTAATGAATTCTTTCTTAATAAAACAAACTGATAATTCAAATACGATCAAAGGAAAAAAAGGTCAGTCGAACCTTGTGTCCATATGGTTTCGCGATACCAAGTGAAAACAAATCAATCGCAATTTCTCGGGCCTTTTCTACAAGCCGAAAAAGAACCACTTGTTTTTCCAAGCTTGCAGGAAAGGCCCGAGAAGATGCGATTGTTAACAAAGAATCAAATTTTTAATAATATTATTTATTATTTATAATATTATTTATTTCATTCGAATCGTAATAAGCCTTCTCCACTAAATTACAAATTCCAACAAAAGTTTTGTCTAAGTATTGTATCGACTATACAAATCGTAAAAAGCCTTCATTATTTGTGATAAGTTGTTACTTCAATAATATAACACTAAACTATCAATTCCAAGAAAAGTTATAGCTAAATAATGATATACTGAAGAATTTAATAAAACAAAAATCATCGCAGATTTCTTTTTCATTGTGACGTCATAATCAAATGTGCACAAGAAAATCGCCCAAATCATATAAATTGCGTACCCAGTTTTAACGACGTCAGCAAACCCGCGACCTACGTTAAGAACCTAGATTTCTAATTATTCTTGTCCAGTCCATATACCTCACATAAATGTTCCATGAGTTACAAAGCTTACAAATGTCCTTCCAGATGAACATAAAGCATATTTTTGAGAAATTGATTTTTAAATTTGTCCTTCTGTGTATAATGTACAATTTAAGATATTAACTATATAAATATAAAGTTTATTTACACAGCATTAGAAACATTTGCTTTGTTTTTTAAAAAACCAATAATAAGTGTATAATTTACCATGATGAATATTATTGGAATTAAACCGCCACAGTTAAGAGCTTTATACACAGGAAATCAATTTAAAACTTTCACCCAAACTTGTTTGACGTCGGGCATTATTTGCCAACTGTCTGTGGATCCAAGAACTTATACATAGGTGAAACTTGATAAGCGGCCATGGGCAAATAATGCTTTTAATATGTACCCATTCTAGATCGGAACATTTAAATGGCCCGCTGTTGATTAAAGCATTGTCTTGTTCAGTAAATTCAGTGTGCCAGCCTTACAGCTACTGGTTGATCAATACTAGCTACACTTAGTAACCATTGTAATCCTCTAAACCCCACATTGCTTTTTTGAAAACAGGGGCAGTTAATTTTTCAGGGATCTATTCTTGTGTTATGTTAATATTTTCTTTGGTGATCTTTAAATATTGATGGTTGACAGATTTGATTTTTTTTTATTGTGCTGGTGGAGTTTTGAAGAAATCTGATTTGAGACTTTATATTCACTGACAATGGAGTCTTCTAATTCTTTTGACAGTGCCGTTGGTGATATCAAAATTCTAGAAGTCAACCAAGAAGGGAAATATGTGCGATTAATGAATGAGAGCAAACAGGTAATGTATAAATGAGACATTTGTAATGTATTAATAGTTATATGAAAGCAAACAAGTAATGTATGAATATATCAGCTCAAATGTATACTTATATGAAACTGATTACATTGAAGATGAAGGGTCAGTGGGTTTAAAGAAATTTTGATCTTGTGTAAACATCTCAAAGAATAACTAAAAATTAATTACTACAACAAAATTTGGAAAGATTATTATAACAAAGTTGGGATTTCAAAGAAATTCCATCTTCTGTTTTATTTTAAAAGAAAACAAAACTATTCAGGAATATTTTAATTGTTTCAATTAAAAAAAACAACTTGAAAAGTGACATCTCTTAGAAATTTCTAGATGCCAGTAAAAATTCTTGTTATGTCTTCATTATTGAACGTTTTGATTTGCTGAAACATAACAAGCTTGCAACATGAATAAAACTGAACAATTAAAGCTTATAATTATGATGATATTATTGCCCGGGGTTTGATATTTAGACATGAAACAAAGACAAAAGACTCTGGCATGTCTTGGGACTTGGCCATCTTGTTTGATCTGACCTGACTGTCAATAGAGCTTTAGAAGTCACTCAATGCAACATTAAACCACTGTTTTTACATGTGCTGGTATTTATATGTAACCATAAGCTTGTTTAAAAAGCACCGTTACATTGATCTGATTACTTCAACCAAGGGTCACCGCATACAAACAAATTGTCATGTACTGTCAACATTGTAAAAGAGAGACTTTTTTTTGTAATGGAAGCCTGCAGATGAAGTCTTAAGTGAAAATGACTCATTTGGTATTTAAAAAAACATAAACTATACTGAAATTAATCTTGTGTCTGAAATATTTTTAAAAATCTTTCTTGTAATCTTCTTAAAATGTTTAAAATATAAAAGCACTAATTATTTTTTACTGTTGGGATTACATGTTCAATAGGCCGGCAGGCATTTAATTATTATTAATTGAAGGGTATATACATATTTTGATTTGAAATTTACTTATTTCATCATTAGATAAATTGGAGTGTTTTAAATTTGTGGATGAATTACTAGTAGAATATTTCCCATGTAAATACTATTTTTTACACAATAAATGAATGAACAAGACAGAGAAATAATGAGAGAACATGACAAAGATGGCTTAATTATTTTGCAATGATTTATTTTTGTTTTTATTGGGTTTAGGAGGCAGAGTTTGGAGGTTACATGATACAACAAAATGTCGGTGGACATCCAGTGGCTGTGTACCGATTTCCCCCAAGGACGAAATTCCCCCCAAGTTGTACCCTTACAGTGTGGGCGGGAACAAACGACCCAATTTTACACCAGCCCCCATCTGACTATGTTTGGAAGGAGCAGCAGAAATGGGGCACAGGTCCAGAGTGCACAACCATTCTGTGTAAACCCAATGGTCAGGTGGGCAGATTTTAAATATTGAAATAACCAGTGAATTTGTAGTTTTTGTAATGGGTACCAGTACAATTGTTTTTCAAGGATCAAAGTTCATTTCATTTTAAGTTTTTTTTTTTTTTTTTTTTTTTTTTTTTTTTTTTTAATGCTTTTAAAACATATATTTATTTAGATATGTTTTTTCCCTCAAACTATCTTTAGTTTCATTTCTTAAAAGCAGGAGATAAATAGCAAAATTTTACAAAAATTATCATATTGCAAAAATGCAACTTCTTTTTTAAAAATCAAGACATACACATAATACATATACTCATTTGGGAGAAACATGCAGATCAGGATTAAATTATGGCAGTTATGGACTCCCGAAGTAGGTGAATGTGGCCATAAATTAGGCAGCTCAACCACCTTATTAGTTGTAAGGTTTACATTTGCACTTGCAAGTTCCTTCATTTAAGTGTCTACATTGAGGGGTCTAAGATCAATTACTAATAAGAATTCATCCCAGGCTTGAAGGAATCAAGGCCCTGATACTCTTATGGAAAGCTTATCTATATATATAATCCTTTTAGATTTTAAGTACTTTTTATCAGATATTGAAATGTTGAAAAATGGTTTTAGTTTACATTGAGGATAAACATTTTTTATTAAGATCGAATGTCAGAATTGCATGGTCAAGGTTAAATTGAATTGCAGTACAGATGATTCATGCATTTTTAAGAGGGGAATTTAGTATTTTGAGATTAAATGGTGGCATTACTGAAAATATGATTTTTATTGTAGGCAATAGCTTGGACCACAGCTGCACATAGGTTTACAAAAAATGCATTTGAGGAGCCCTCAGCAACCTCCCAGCCTGTGGTGGCAGGTAGGTTTTGTCATAAGTATGACTAAATGTTTGACCAGGGCTAAGTACATGTTCCACTCATTAGCAAAATTTTGACAAACATTTAGCATATCATAGGAGGTTAACTGGTGTAAAAGTTGAGGAAAACTTGCATGTTTTCTTGACTTTCCTTAGAAAATACCCTGTAATGAGTAATGGTTGGTAATGGGAAAGAATTACTGATGATTACTGATGATAATGATTAGGATGGGTATATAAAATGTTTATCACTTTCTAATAGACTTAATGTAAAAAAAATTACGTCAAACAGATGAACCCATTCCTGATGATCAGAATGTAGAGACAGACAGTCTGACGGAGATGACAGTCAACATCAATGAACCGAAACCAGACTCAGTGTACCTCAAAAGGTAGGTCAACAAATCTAAACCATGCACTGGATCCCTTAAAAGGTAGGTCAACCAACCCAAACCAAACTCAGTGTACCTTAAAAGATAAGTCAACCAACCCAAACCAAACTAAAAGTATCTTAAAAGGTAGGTCAACCAATCCAAACCAAACTAAGTTTACCTTAAAAGGTAGCTCAACTAACCCAAACCAGACATTTTACCTTAAAAGTTAGGTCATTCAACCCAAACCAGACTTGTTACCTTAATAGGTAGGTCAACCAACTCAAACCAGACAATTTGTACCCTGAAATATAGGTCAAGAAATGAAACCTAAACAGGTAGGTCAAGGCCAGCAGTCTAAAATAGATTTTTTTTCCTCAAAAGATAGAGGTTGTCAACCTGAGCATTCACTGCTCATAATATAGCTGAAGTGAACCCAATTTTATGAAGGTGAGTCATCCAAATATTTGGATAGAATACACAGTATTTCATTTTCCTTAAAAAAAAAATACTATGCAGTAAAGCTTGTTTAATCTGAACACCAGTGATCCATTAAATTTTGCTGGATCAGATAACATTCCAGATTTGACAATATTCTAAAGAACTGAATTACTGAAAGGGACTTAAAAGTTTTCATGTAATAGGCATATTGGAATACCCAATACAGTGTATCTGGTTTAGACAAGTTTTACAGTAAATTCTAGATTCACCCAGGTTTTAAGAAATGATCTATTTAAAAAAAATATTTAATTCAGTCTGAATAATATTATTGCAAAATGCTGCAACATGAATGAGTAATATATTCAAGAATGTACACAGGAAGGAACTGTAGAATTGTAAGCTGATTTTTGTTTTTCAGGGAGAAACAACAGCCTAATGTGTTAACCCCACAGAAGCACCCCCATGGTACCTCCCCAGGAAAAGAAATCCATCCCCACACAGGTCAGCCCCGCCCCTATACGTATGGTAATGACAACAGCAGTGTGAACCGACAGTCTCGATCACAGACAACACGACCTGACCCAGTCAGTGGTAGGGCACAAAGAAATTCAACTTTGTAAAGCATTTATATGTACATGAAATGAATGATAAATTATCTTTGTGAGAAGAAGCACAAAAGAAGGCGTTTAGACAGAGGATGGAAATGTACAAGATGAAATGATTTTTTTTTGGGGGGGGGGGGGGGGTATTTGCATTGTGGTTTACATTAAAATTTAGTTTGGAAATTTTGCTCTTATATTGTTTAGAAAAAATTAAGATAGTTTTTTATTTTTCCATCACGTATTCAAGATTGAAATGTACTTGTTGTTTATATAGGTCAGCCTTATGCAGGTTCAGCCCAGAAGATGGGCAGTGCTCCTTTGAAGCGTTACACCCCCACCAATATACGAGGGAATGGCTGTATTGTTAACAAAGCAGTAAGTACATACATAATCACATTTCAGGTGAAGATTTCTAATGCAAGGCTTCAAAACATAAAATATTCTTTTGTTGTAATCTTTAGCATTTGATTTGCAAGGGAAATGTTAGAGTAATTTTTTTTTTATCATTCATTCATTTGCGCATTTTGTGAAATTGACATTTCACATGGCAGCTGTCATTCAAGCGATAAAGTAATTTGCATATGCATTGTTATATATGTCATTGACTAAATATGGGTTTGTTAATTAATATGAAATAACATTTTGACTAATTTTTGAATAATGGAGCTGATGCTTACCATGTCTATTTATATATAATCCCATTTCTTAATTTTACACCTTCCCAAATTTCACTAACTTTCTTAATGTTTCAAGTACTTTGTGATTTCAGTAGGCATAATAATGACCTACGAGTGCATGTATTTATTATGTTGGATGTTACAATACATGAAAGTGAAAATTCTTCAAAAGAATAAGAATTTTTCCAAGAGGTCCATACAACTTTCTGAAGGAAATGCATTCATTTTATTGTTTTAATTTCTAGTAATCTTAAATTATGAACTGAGAAACAGAATTGAATCTCGTATATACTCATCATATTTTTATATATATCTGTCTATCTTTTGCTTTGCTATTTTAATAATATTTTTTTTAACTTTTTAAATTTATTTTATAACATCTTAGACATCTTTGTCAAGCAAACCTGACAATATAACCTTGAAGGATAAAAATCGGTAAAAGTTCACATGGAGGATGCATGTCTGTTGTTAATGTGAATATGCATGATATGTAAATTAATTTCTATGATAACATGTTTAGAACTCAGAGCATGGTCATTTGCACTTGTTCATTTTTAGTTCACTGTACAAGGTATCATTTTTGAAAAGTGGAAATCAATTGTAATTTCAAAACAGATTGATTGCAAAAAAAAGATAGAATTTTTTTTTAAAACGTACAAATAGAATCATTGTTTGTTTGTTTGTTTTTTTTTGCTGGGGGGGGGGGGGGGGGGTTAGAGGAAGGAGGGGGTTTCATTAGCATTGAGCATGCAATCATTTAAAAAAAAAGATTACAAGCACAAACACAAAAATCGGCTTAGTTTGACAAAGCTTGTAAATTTACTCATATATTCTATGTAATAGTGATCATTGAAATCAAAGTATTAAATGATAATTTGATTAACCAACATTGTAACATTTAATTAATAAATTATCACAGATTTATGTGTGCATGATGTGTCTTTAGTCTTAATGTTGCTGCATGCATGCTGTTTAAATTGCTGCGCAAATTGAAAGCTTGGAAAGCATGAGCCATGCAATACTAATTGAATAATTTTATTCATAAAAAGAAAGGTCAATTTAGTTTTACATTCTACGTATACACAAATATAAAATATACTTTCAAAGTCTTTAAGATATTTAATTATAAAGCAGTGATATTCTGAAAGGGGATAGGAGACAGTTTCTAACATGAAGCAAATTGGAACTTTTTACTTGACTAATGTACATATTTTCTACAATGTTCTACAATACATATGAGGTGGTGGTTATATGTTAACTGGTTCTCTGAACTGGTTCTATGATGTTTTATTTTCAGAATTCTAGTTTCCTGAACTACCTTCTGGCATCAGCTCCTGAACACTGAACATGTAATTTGTTCTCTCACCACAGCCCTTTATGTTCAAATCTTGTTTCTTGATTGAGCTGAATTTTTTCGGAGACAGAAATTTACAAAATATGAGAATGAAATGATACATCATGCTTGTGCTCAATTAAACACAAGATTTGAACATTTTGGGCGCAATTTCCCCAACTTTGTAACTTCTACATCAAGTCTTTTGTGAAGGCATGACAGAGCTTTGGTTGGGAGCCGGTAGCCATCAATTTTGTCATAATTTTTCATGCAAGACTTGGTGTACAGAGCTAACTAAAGATTGATTAACAGAGCCAAAAATTAACATACCAAATTTTTACCCTGTGATTGTTCATCCTTTAATTCACTCATGTTGTCGATATTTTCCATGCATCTGAGATATAAACATGTTTCCATGTAAAACTGAATGAATCTTTTCATGTTGCCAGGGCAACAGGAAAAAGATTTAATTATTAATCAATGTGTGTACTCTGACTTGCATCCCTCTATCTAACAAAATCCAAGGCAATATTAACATTGTTCAAATGGTCACTAAATATTAATTGATGAGAAATTTCTTGGAATGGTCTCAAAAATTTTGAATTCCCCCCAAATAAATTATTTGAAAGCTAATTAATTTATTGATACCTACAGTGATGTTGCTAAATGGATTATTTTTTTTAAATTCCATTGTTCTCAGTACAAATGAAAAGAAGGTATGGCAAATTAAAGGGATTTAAGTCCTTGGGTCCTTAGACCTATTTTTGTGCATAATTAATGGGAAGGTTAAAGTTCATCCTCATGTTATCATCATTATACATGATCATTTTGGTGGTAGTCTTGTAGTGTTTGAGGAGGATCCAGGATTTTGGTAGGTATGAGGGATGCAGGTCTAGCTAGAGCTGTGGTTGTTTGTTTGTAGGCCGGTACGATACGTGTGGGCCCAGCCTCCCCCTTCTCCTCCCCCCTGCAGCAGGAGTATAGTAACAGTCGGCCTGCCTCACTCGTACGCTTCTCTACCTAGAGGTGCGTGGTCTTCGTCTGCTTGTTTTCTTCCAGTCTGAAGTATAATCCTCTGTGTTAATTTTGAGAATATTGCTGTAGCATTACAGAGTGTAGAAGATTTTTATTGTTCTTAGAGCAAAACCCACTAAAAAAAATTGAAAGAGTTAATTTTGATTTAAATTTTAATACAGTTATGAAGATTGATTTTTTTTTTCACCAAATGAATTTCTGTGGAACAAAATTGTTTGTGGTATTCAATATTTATTATTTGATTAAATGCTTTATCATTATTATGATAATATCATTACTATCATAACTATCATTATGAAAAAAAAAAATTATTGTATATATATGTTTAGTCATTAAATAAAAATGTAGACTATTTTTGGACAAGTTAACTTTGGAGTAGTGCTTTAGGATATATCCTTTAATTCTGAAATTCCACTATAGAATAGAATTCCAAGAATTTGTGATTGTGTTTAACAATGATTGAAGTGTGATTGATTTACATGTATTTAGGTATAACATTAACACAAATGAATTGATCAATTAAAACCTGACGATGTGCTGTGATACCTTACTTGTTCAATCTCTACATGTGATTGTTCCACTGAGACAGAAAATCTAAGTCAATTTGTAATTAACATGGAAAAACTTTTCAAAATGTGTCCCCATAAAGCAACAATTTCTTTCAGAAGCTTTTAATACTGATCTATGAATTTTTGTTTTTTTGTAGGATGTAGGTAAAACTTCAAGCCCACCTAATCCTTTCATGTCACCACATGTCAAGTTTCAAACAGGCCTAGATCAGATCCGCTCCCAACACAATGAGGACTTCATGCCTCCCATGCCCCGCCCACCTCTCTTCTCATCATGGTAGCTCCTCCTACTTTCTGTTTAGCTCCTCCTACTCTGAATTTTGTGTGTCCTATCTGTGAACGGATTGATGAATGTGAATGTTTTCTGCAAGGAAGTTGGATTTGATACAGCAAGGGAAACAGAATGCATTTCAGCATTATGGTGTTACAGTGGAGTGTGGAACTTACTGTTTTCAAAACATTTTCCAGTTTTTCCATTAGAAAAGATGCCAACAAGAACAGCATGAGAGATAAAACTGATGGTGTGGATTTCTATCCTTCTTTCTTTGTGTCGCTGGAGGTGGGTGGGACTCATGCCACATGTACACGTATCTTACATAAACTCTGGTATATATGTTGAAGATAAACACTTATTTCTTGATTGTTGAACACAAGAGATGTGGAATTCATCAACTTCAAAGTATTTTTTTTTAATTATCAGATATAATTAGAGACACTGCTGTATCATCAAATTAAATTGTAGGTGAATATTTGTGTTTGAATTTTATCATGTTTATTGTTCTGTGTATTTCTTTAAAGCATTATTTCTTTGTTGATTTGAATGTTTTTTGTTTGTATTAGAAATTGCCAGGCATGCATGGATATTTTTTTTACTACCAAGGGTATGTGTTTCATTGTGACATTTTTAGCCTGAATATTTGCTCAGAATTCCTCACTGAACTGATTCCACAGGGTCTGTTGCGTCTTGATGCTAATACAGAAATTCTGCTCCTTAAGAGTTCATGAATCAAGGTCGTTGTTAATGACTTACCCCTTTGCTTTTATTATCTACCGTCAAACCTATCTATGGGGCTGAGAAAAACTGAGATTTCAGAGAATTTGAGATATTATTTAATGCTTAAAGAAGAAGTGGTTGGGACCTTCCAACCTTATTCAACATATTCATGGTATTCAAGTAAAGTTACTAATTAAAAGTTCAAATGTATATTGGTTTAAAATGAGGTTTGATGTATTCTTGAGTATGTTTTAATTGTAAGGTGATGTAACTCTAAAAGGCGCTTGAGTATTAATTTTGCAGAAATGAATACTATTTTAAATTGAAAAGCTTAAATTGCAAATAATTTCATTTGTCACCTTATTTATGCATGGATATAAAGTTTGTTTGTCTGATATATAATGTATTTATAAGATACATTGATGTAATTATTCAGGGCACTGAGCTTGCACTTATTGCAAACTTACACGTAATAAAATAGGAAGCAGTTTTTATGTTTTATGTCCATTATGCATAATGGGAGTGAGGATTTATTTTTATACATGTAATGCTTAGTATGTTTAATCAATTTTTCTGTGATAGAAACTCAATGCCATATGTTTTATCTGCTGAAATTTTTGTTGCCTTTCAGGGCTTTGGTGTAAACAGATTTTTTTTTTTGATTTTTACTAGTTTTGATAAGATTTTTTCTCCACCTCAGAAGTGGTACTGCATGTACTGTAGATCACTAAATTTTCACGACACTTTATTTTCGCAAGATAGTCAATGTCTCTTTATTAGCGAGACAAAATTTTCACAAATAGTGGTTATTGCTCTATATAATCATAAAGATTGCTATTGTACGCGAGAATGAAATTTTCGCGAGCACATTGTCTTGCGTAAATATGCGAAAATAAAGTTCTCACGAATAAAAGGTGATTTACAGTAATATGTATGAGTTGATTGTTATTAGGAATGCATTGTTTTGTATTTTAATTGAGAATAAAGAATTCATTTTAAATGGATGAACCAATCAAAGAGTAATATGACTTTCTAGCCAAATTTGAGATAAGAAGAAATCCAAAGGTTGAGAGGCTCCTTGATAGTCAGGTTTTACTGTATTATCTTTGGGCTGAATCAAGCATTTATAATGCTGAATGTATCATGTAGTCTGCGCTGTATCAAATGTTTTATTTTGTCTTTTACTTCTTGTTCCATCCATGATTGTTATCTGTGATAATTATTATATATTTTTTTTATATTCAAATTATAGTATGACTAGACCACATTTAACAAATTTTTGCTAATTTTGATAGAGTACATATTTATACAGAGAGCTTAATAAATATGTAGAAATTTATATTAATGAGTTTGTGTTTTCATGGGAATTACATTGGTTGGTTTATCAATGTATTTAGATGCTTTTGTTATATGAACATTCCTCTGGAATTGAGTTGAACATGACAAACATTGTGAAGTGCTCTACAGTCCTTTTCAAAACTCTCTGGTTGTATTTTTAGTAATTATTCAAATGAAATGCAATTTATAAACAAATATTTCACCCACCAAACCAGATTTCAGCTTAGTACATGTATCTGCAAGCATACAGGTGATGTAAAATTAACACTAGAAATATATGCTTGAAGAATATTTTCTTATGCAGAATTTACAACTCTTGGAATTCTCTCTCTCTCTCTCTCTCTCTGATTTCATGCTTGTAATTTTGCCTTGCACCAAAGGAATTAAAGTATACCTGCACACAATTTAAAATCATTTGTTGTAGAATCTCAAGTGATCTCCATTTGTATGGCGAACGAATGAAATGCAGCAGTTTAGTCTTGGCATTTAAAGATTTTTTTTGGCTTTGGTTTGTTTCTAATGTAGTTAAAAAAAAATATCTGCAGTTCCAAATTATTCACGCTTCAAAATTACAAATGCATGAATGATGTTAACAAGTGAAATTGCAAGCTCTTTATCCAGAATACAAATTTCAAGCAATCTGATAGATGGAGATAAATTTCATCAATTTTATTATTAAAAAATATGATTGGGGTTCTTCATTGATCTTGTAACTGCAATGCATAGTAATGTACCTAAAATTGTTGCAAAATTGCAATTTCATGACAGTTTTCATTAAAAAAAAATCATTTATCTACACAAGTCTAGGAAGTCGGTTAGAGCTCTCAGGCTTTCGATTGATAGCGGTGAACGGTTTCTGGTCACGTGATGACTAGAGTTCAGCTCGTTACTTTTCAAAGACTGCAACACTGACTTTGTATTATATTCTTCACAACAGAAAGAAAAGTTTTGTATCGTTTTTAATTCAACAATGAGCACGTGCCTTTTTTAATCACATCCTTGTAATTGCTATATCTTAATTCGTACAAAAAATGCATTCTTAATCGTTGTAAAGAATAAGTTTTCTTACTATTTTCATCTTACAAAATAAACACAGTCACACCTCTGATTTATGCAGAAAAAAACATTAGCTTCCAGGAGAGAAAATATATTAAGATTCAAATATATGAGGTTAAAATTTATTTGATAAAGACACTAAATAAAATACAATGCATGTTCATGCATGTGCAGATACACGAACCAGATTGGTTCACGTGTCTTTATTGCCTGAAACAAGCAGAAATATTAGCCCACCACCACCCTCCAGAAATCTCGAATTTATACTTATCTCTCAAATGCTTAGCAGTTATCTTGTGAAATTTGCATAAGGTAACTCTGGATGTACTCAAATGATCTCCCTTTGAACGACGTAAGTACAACGTTCATTGGAATAAGCTAAGGTAAATGTAAGGAGTCGGTGACGAGATGGCGAGAGTTCATCTTGAAAAACACATAAAGTATTGTTCAAAAACTACAGAATTTACTTGATATTGAGCCCTTCATAACAAGCAGAGGTAAGGTTCAGGTTTTCTATTCTTCGTTTAATGTTATAGAGATTTACTGTTAATGCATTTTAAATTTTACAAATACACGTAGTATATTGCAAAGGTAAACAAAATAAATTTCATTATACATTTTACGTTAACGTTGCACTTAGTGAGAAATGTTATTTTCTGAAATAAATGACATCAAAAAACGACAGAATAATAATATGTAAGTTTAAGTCTGTTGTGAATTTTTGAAGCAAATTGAATTCTCTCTCTCTCTCTCTCTTTCTCTCTCTCTCTCTCTGATTTCATGCTTGTAATTTTGCCTTGCACCAAAGGAATTAAAGTATACCTGCACTCAATTTAAAATCATTTGTTGTAGAATCTCAAGTGATCTTTATTTGTATGGCGAACAAATGAAATGCAGCAGTTTAGTCTTGGCATTTAAAGATTTTTATTTGGCTTTGGTTTGTTTCTTATGTAGTTAAAAAAATATCTGAAGTTCAAAATTATTCACGCTTCAAAATTACTAACGCATGAATGATGTTAACAAGTGAAATTGCAAGCTCTTTGTCCACAATACAAATTTCAAGCAATATGATACATGGGAGATAAATTTCATCAATTTTATTATTTAAAAAAATATTGGGGTTCTTCATTGATCTTGTAACTGCAATGCGTAGCAATGTACCTAAAATTGTTGCAAAATTGCAATCTCATGAAAGTTATCATTAAAAAAATCATTCATCTACATAAGTCTAGGAAGTCGGTTAGAGCTCTCATGGCCGGTTGCGTATCTCGGATTTAAACCTCCGATCAATGATTCCAGGTTTTAATCCAAGTTTACACGTTGCACACAGGTAAGGCTTGGCTGAGTACAGCTCAGAATTACGGTAAATTCTGAACCTGGTATAGGGGTGGTTTAAACCCAGCTTGATATGATCGTTTCCATGGATTTTTGGTAGAATATTTTGATATTTTGAACTGTTTTGATGTTCCAGAAATGTTTTATGGTGACGATGATTGTATTGAAAGATTTCGCCATATTAAAAAGGCTATTCTACAAGAAATTATTTATGGTAATATTGAAGACTTTTTTTGGCACATTTCTTCAATGTGTCGTTTTAGATAACACTGATGCAGCTGAAGTCTTAAGTTACTAGAAATTTTTAAATGGGAATTTATTCGGGTACACAAATGTAAAATAACAAAAAAAGTTATATAAACTTTCTCATATACCAAATTTAAATCAAATTACGAATTTCACACTTCAAACAATGCAAACAGCTGGTGATACACATTCCAATAGTTTCTAATAATGCCGAACCGAATTTCTTAGAAATTAAAAGTTTATTTTTTATCATTGTGTAGGCTATCCACATGGCTGTAGGACCGGGGGGGGGGGGCTGCCCCGCCTTAATAATTTTGCTGATATATTGAATACTCTAGAAAATATAGCTAATGTATGATTGTGCCTTCTCAATAATAACGTATGATGACGTTTTGTTTTTTTTTTTTAATTTGCCTGTCAAGGATATTTGGGTTGTGCCCCACAACTAAAAATGTTTGGCTGTGCCCCCCCCCCCCCAACTGAAAATGCTTACGGCCTGATCCTTGAGAACATGACAACAAACTCACATTTATCAATACTTGTACCGAACTGAATGTTTCACTGGATTGCTGGCTATATGAATAATGCCCAAATAATCTCTTTGTTACATTAGTTGTATATCAAACTAAACATTCTAAACAACTAAGTACTAATGGCTTGATATCTACAGAAAAGGTATCATTTGATATTAAATTGAAAATTTAAATATATACATTGTTCCTACCTCTGTCTTAAGTTTTGGTATTGTTTCTATTGTTACTTATTCCCAAGACCCCCCCTCCCAGTTTTTCCTCTCTTCAGTCTTTTGGAAAAGCTGTATTATGTTTGCCATTTCATATTTTCTTATGGTTTGAGTTTCGATGACAGATCCTGTGGTTTGAATTAAATTGTATTGCAGTTTTTTCTGCATTTTAATTAACAATTTACTATCAATATATATCTTTGTTTTTAAATATATCCTTTCGAGATTCAACCAGATTTATCAAAAAATGTTTGAAGAGCTGTAAAATTAGGAAACTTACTAGCCTTCAACAGTTTAATTTGAGTAAGTCAAGATTAGGTAAGCCTTACTCAGTTTTATAGCGTGCAACAGAAGTACGTCTCAAGTAAACCCGACTCAACTGGGGTTTAAACCCGGCTTTCGTGATCCGCGGATCAGCGGCTGAGCTGTACTTATCTGAGCCATAGGTACGCAACCGGCCATCAGGCTTTCGATTGATAGTGGTGAACGGTTTCTGGTCACGTGATGACTAGAGTTCAGCTCACAAACAGTTACTTTTCAAAGACTGCAACACTGACTTTGTATTATATTCTTCACAACAGAAAGAAAAGTTTTGTATCGTCTTTAATTCAACAATGAGCACGTGCCTTTTTTATTCACATCCTTGTAATTGCTATATCTTAATTCGTACAAAAAATGCATTCTTAATCGTTGTAAAGAATAAGTTTTCTTACTATTTTCATCCTACAAAATAAACACAGTCACACCTCTGATTTATGCAGAAAAAAACATTAGCTTCCAGGAGAGAAAATATATTAAGATTCAAATATATGAGGTTAAAATTTATTTGATAAAGACACTAAATAAAAAAAAATAAGAGCTTTTTATTTGATCAAGCATAAGGATCACAGGTTGCATATGCAGTACAATGCATGTTCATGCATGTGCAGATACACGAACCAGATTGGTTCACGTGTCTTTATTGCCTGAAACAAGCAGAAATATTAGCCCACCACTACCCTCCAGAAATCTCGATTTTATACTTATCTCTCAAATGCTTAGCAGTTATCTTGTGAAATTTGCATAAGGTAACTCTGGATGTACACAAATGATCTCCCTTTGAACGACGTAAGTACAACGTTGTTTGGAATAAGCTAAGGTAAATGTAAGGAGTCGGTGACGAGATGGCGAGAGTTCATCTTGAAAAACACATAAAGTACTGTTCAAAAACTACAGAATTTACCTGATATTGAGCCTTCATAACAAGCAGAAATAAGGTTCAGGTTTTCTATTCTTCGTTTAATGTTATAGAGATTTACTGTTAATGCATTTCAAATTTTACAAAAACACGTAGTATATTGCCAATAAAAGTAAACAAAATAAATTTCATTATACATTTTACGTTAACGTTGCACTTAGTGAGAAATGTTATTTTCTGAAATAAATGACATCAAAAAACGACAGAATAATAATATGTAAGTTTAAGTCTGTTGTGAATTTTTGAAGCAAATTGAATTCTCTCTCTCTCTCTCTCTTTCTCTCTCTCTCTCTCTGATTTCATGCTTGTAATTTTGCCTTGCACCAAAGGAATTAAAGTATACCTGCACTCAATTTAAAATCATTTGTTGTAGAATCTCAAGTGATC